AACATCCAAGTTCACTTTTGAGGTAAACGCAGATTGCTCATTCTTATAAAAATTAGTACAAACGAACAGTTGGATGTCTGTCATTGGGCAGATTTCAAAGTATATCCTACTAATATTATAAAGGCGAAAGTTTGTGTGGATGTTTGTTACTCTTTCACGCAAAAAGTACTGAACGGAAGAAAGAAAGAAAATACATTTATTTGGCACACTAGAACAACAAATTACAGAATATTAATACGATAAAAAAATTAATTTAAAAATTATGCCAAATAGGCTATAATTTATGCCAATCTGTGGCACTAAATTTCACGCGGGTGAAGCCGCGGGCAAAAGTAGGTTATAAAACCTATAATGAAACTGAGAAAAATATGTGAGTCAAGTTCTCAGTTTCAAGACATGATACGTTTTAGCAAAAGTTTTAAAGTTGTAAAATTAAATTCTACGCGCGGTGAAGCCGCCAAGTATAAACCCTCCGTGATAGTTTTGACTTGCCCCCGTACCAGGAACGAAGCCGGTCCGCGTAGNGAATTTTGTTCAATGACCCCAAGCTCACGGACCAGGCTTTAGTGCCTGTAATTTGTGATCGTGTAAAACAAAGATACCTTAATAGACTTAGTACCTCAGTTATAAAGCCATAAAAGTTGGCTCAAGCGTAACTACCTACTTTTTGAAAAAGTTACTCTGGATCCTTCTAAAACATATTAGTGGGGTAAAAACCTTTCCTTTAATGAAATGAAGTTTAGAACCAGGCTTTCAAAGTGCCAATATTGGTGGGAAGTGGGGATGCATACGTTTGAAAATGCTTGTCGCGGGAGGTGCGATTTATTTGATGACAGCGGCACTGACTGGGTAAAGCGCTAAAGTACGGCCAACTAGCAGCGATACGAAAGATCGATACGACTGTCGAGTTGACAATCTATTCTGTCTCTTCCTATCTTGTGTATAATCTGTCGTAACGTCTCGTTCTTCCGCCAAAATATGTCAAAGTCATGACGGGTTCGTCAACATTCGGACATCCATTTTAATATAGTTGTTACAATTCACGAGGGCGAAACTGTTACTTGTCGGTTCTTATTTTATTATTCCGATATTATATTTAAGTCTCTCTATGAAAAAAGGGGTATACACCGGGCACACAGTCTATTATTCTCTTCATATTATGTAAATCTACATTATACAATAATTGAAACTATAACAAAATCAAAACATAGTAAAATATTTTTTTTTGCTTTGCCAGATATTTTTTAAAACTATATTGTCTACAAAAATATGTATTCTTAAAAGTTAGATTACATATTTTTGTAGACAATATAGTTAAGTTTGTACCCCTGCTATTCCTAATGACCATGACATTGGGTTTGTTTACATTTGGTATCGCTTCTCGTTGGCCGTACTTTAGAAGTATAAATAGGAAACGTACTCACCAGACGGGCGTCCGGCGCAACACGGCGAGCTGTAAAGGCGCGTGCAGACAGGCGGCGCGGGACGCTCTGCCGTCACTGCTGAACGCGCACCCACACTTGTACGAAGTCGCGCTACGTCACGTCGCCGATACCAGCCAAGGTAATTATTATCAGAGTAAATACAAATGAGTAGCTCATCTTCATAGAAACGCACGGGCGCGGTTTGTACCAACACGTATATATGCGGCGCGCACGCACACACTGACAAAATTTAGCGGGGATTAGCGAGGAGCCAGTCGTGGTTGCGCCGAATTTTGTCAGTGTGTGATACAAACCGCGCTCGGTGTGTTTCTATGAAGATGACCTACTCATTTGTATTTACTCTGTTATTATTGAGTATTTGACATCATTCCCAAATAATTCTAAGGTACAACTTTTTTTAAAAATACACTTTATTCTGATCTTGAAAACTTTAACAAATTTTAAATTACCTGTAAATTAGGATTTTTGGTTGCATTGTAATTGAAAAGTAGTTTGAGTTTATAAAATAGTGACGTCACAGGCTTTTTGCCATAAAATCTATGGAAGAATCTCGTTTAGTTTTAAAAAGAAATTCATTAATCAATTGATTGTTAGTGTCAAATACCCAATTGGCAATGATCAGGCCAAAGGTAGAAGCGAGTTTCACCCGGAATCCTCAACCACAGAGGAACTGGCTATCTTACCTCTAACTGCTGGAACACAACAATGCTGTTAACATAATTGTTATGGCGACAGACTTAGGTAAGATAGTGGTAGCTGGCCAGGCTGACTTAGAACAAGCCTTACCACAAACAACAAGCCCTATCAACCAGCCAACCAAAAAACCAGCGCCGTGGCCTTCGTCACCGTGGGCCACGGCATTTGCTGAGTGGGGTCCCGTTGCAGTGGGCATCTTGTTGGTGGATGGGTGGCACTGCTCAGTTTGCTCTTGTTTTTATTTTTTCTTCTTTTATTATTATGTGCCACTGTCATGTCTATGTAATTGCCTGTATTTGTGTGATGTCCGTTGTAATAAATGTATCTTTCTTTCTTTCTTTCTATCACGGACATTCCAGAAATAACTATAACCAAAAAATAAGATTAAAAGTTGCTTAACGGCATGCCCCGATTAATGCTGAGCGGGCCCCTATTTGACAGCAGGGCACAATGTTTCTTCTTTTTGTAATTTATGTAAATGTGATGTCGTTCTGTTTGTCAAATAAAACATTTTTTACTTTACTTTTACTTAACGATGTTTATAAAACTTTGCAGTGGAGAAGCTAGAGCCGTCGTCGATATCGTGCCTCGCCGTAGACCGCTGGCGCCCTCAGCCGCACGAGGCGTATGACGTAGCGTTCGACTGGTCCCAACGCTGCCCTCACCTGCTGCCGGCGCTGTTATTGAATCTCGACTATACGCCGCACACGTAAGATTCGTTTTTCAATGGCTAGACTTGTCCTCGATATCGAGAGCATTTTTGAAATCGGTACCTCTAGTACGAAAAACTTTCGAGTTCGTTTCGTTTGCGTATTCAAAGTGTCATCGAAAAATTTTGTATGAAAAATTAAACAGCACCCCCTATATTATAGCCGCCCTAGGGGGCGCTGTTTAATTTTTCATACAAAATTTTTCGATGACACTGAATACGCAAACGAAACGAACTCGAAAGTTTTTCGTACTAGAGGTACTGATTTTCGATTTTACTAAAAGCAGCGGTGCGTAAGTTTGGGGCTGACCGAATCGTAAAGGGGATAGTAGAGTTCGTGGCGCCACTCCTACACATATTTTAACTATTAACGACTAATGAGGTGAAAAGTTGCAATAGGTGCTGAACCGCACCCGTAGTGTGTGTCTGTAGAGCTGTCTATTGTACTATTTATCAAGAGTATTCGCTTACTCTATCATTGAATTGAACAGTATGACAGTTGTAGGTCTAGTGTTTAACTGACTCAGCCTGAGATATGGGCACGGGAGGGTGTTTTTGTGACGGTCAAACGTCAGCGAGACTTCAGATTAGTATGCTCTGTCACGTCATAATATGCCAACGTCACTCCTCTCGTGCCGCTCCCTCACCTCAGACACTGATTCAGTTCAGCGTTTTACTGATAGATAGTCTTTTGTTTATTCTATAACTAGCTTTCGCCCACGGCTTCGCGCGCTTGACACATACTAACTTCCAACCCCTGTTAGGGGTGGAGTTTTGTAAAATCCGTTTATAGCGGACGTCTACACCCTATAAAGAACCTACTTGCCAAATTTCAAATTGTAGGTGTTATGGTTTCTGAGATTTCGTGATTAATACCACTCACTGATGTATTTTGCGTTTATAATACTAGCAGCCGCCCGCAACTTTGTACGCGTGGATCCCGTTTAACCCCCTTAAGGTTGGAGTTTCGTAAAATCCCGTCTCAGTGAGCACCTACGTTGTAAAAGGAACCTCCAAGGAACCCCCATTTGAGACTTCTAGCACTTGTAGTTTCCGAGTCGTGATTTATTGTCACGAAATTGTCACTTAGTAAGCAATAAATATTTTGAATTTGAATTTGATGAGTGAGTGAGTCAGTGACCTTTCGCTTGTCACCTTATTTTTAATAGTTAAGCTGTGTTGTTAATGTGTTTTTTTGTTATGGTGACAATAAAGGTTCATTTAGTTTAATTTAATTTAACTAGCGGCCGCCCGCGACTTCGTACGCGTGGATAGCGTTTTACCCCCTTAGGGGAGGAATTTCGTAAAATCCTTTCTTAGCGGATGCCTACGTCATAACATCTACCTGCATGCCACAGCCCGATCCGTCCAGTGGTTTGGGCTGTGCGTTGATAGATCACTATGTCAGTCAGGCACCTTTGGTTTATGTATATTTAGGTACATTATTTCATTGCAGCGGAATATCCTTAGACGCGCAGCTAGGGCTGGGCGGGTGGCTGTGTTCGTACGTGCGATCCCTCGCGCCAGCCGAGCCCGATGACTGGTGCTGGCGGGTGCTGCGGGCGCTGCGCCTGCACCGCGCGTGCTGGGGGCTGCGGCCTGAGGCGCCGCCTCCCGACCCGGAGCCAGATGATCTGTTCTCGAAGGCATACGCGCTGATGCAGAGCTCGTGGGGACACTGCATACCTTTGGTGAGACTTGTTAAGGAGCTTAGGTCCTGCCCCTGCGTGCACCGCACGTGCTACGTGCTAGGAAGCGCTCGGATGCTCCGCCTCCCGACCCTTAGCTGGATGATTTGTTCTCGAAGGCGTACGCGCTGATGCAGAGCTCGTGGGGACACTGCATACACCGTAAGCCTGGTGTTTATTGTTTAAGCAGTATTGCATCGATTGAGTGTTCTGCGCAAGCTAAGGCCCCGCCCCTCGAAGACGCACGCGCACCTGATCTCCAAGGCGTACACGCTGCTGGCGAGCTCTTGGGGACACTGAATACACCGTAAGCCTGGAGTTTATTGTTTAAGCGGTATTTTGCATTGATTATTATTGCAGTGTACTAGGGAAGCTAAGGTCCCGCCCCTCAATTGAACTGTACAACTTTCGTGGCTGTGCTCGCACGTGCACTCTTTGCGTCTGGGTTTATTGTTCAAGCGGTTTCGCATTGATTGAGTGTTCTGCGCAGGCTAAGGCCGCTGCTGTTTGATTTTAGCAATAATCTATTCGACAACACCAATCAATTGACGTACTTTTAAAGCCCGGTCTGTGAGCACGTCGCGACTGTGCGACGGGCGCCCGCAGTGAGTGTGCGAGCGCGACAGCAACATAATTATGCGCGAGCGATAAGGATGGGTAGCTTGGGGTCATTGGACAAAATTATACGTGCTCGTAGACCAGACTATAGAACGGTCAAAACGAGACTCTCACATAGATTTTGTGCTAGTGACGTCCCTATTTTGCCAACTCAATTAAACTACTTTTTTCAATTACAATGTAACCTAAAATCTTTACAGGTAATTTAAATTAATAAGTTTTTAAGACCAAAACGAGGTGTCTTTTTTAACCGACTTCAAAAAAGGAGGAGGTTATATGTTCGACTGTATGTATGTTTTTTTTTTTTTCTATGTATGTTCACCGATTACTCCGTCAATTGTGGACCGATTTTCAAAATTCTTTTTTTGTTTGATAGGGTACACTTCTGAGGTGGTCCCATTGTCACCAAGTCAGGATCTGATGATGGGATCCTAGGGAAATCGAGGGCAACTCCCAAATTTTATAGGGACGTATATCGTTTTTCAAACGTTTTCTTAAGTTATTCAAGTATTTGCTCCTGGAAATCATCATATCATATTGATGAGCTGATGATAGAAGGTAAAACTCTTTAATGTTTAGGAGTTGGAGGATAATTCTTTTAATTTTATAGATAAGTATAGTTTCTAAAGTTATTCAAATATTAGCATTAGATAGTCATCATCTCATCATGATGAACTGGTCATGGTACGTACAACTCCTTAACGCTTAGGAGTTGGAGGATAATTCTTTAAATATTATAGGTACAAATAGACCAACAGTTGTATTTTTTCATGTTTTTAAGGTGGGCTGACGGTTTAAGGTCTTTTTAGGTTACCGATATGGTAACCTGTATTTTGTAGGGAATATTATTTTACACTTGACATGAAGAATATAGTCTCAATGTACTGCTTACCTTCAGTGGTAATACGTGGTATAATAATAAGTTAACTAAAAAGCAAGAAATAAGTTAATTTTTATAAAAAAAAAAAAAACCGACTCCAAAAAACATACACTAAAAAGTTGAAAAATAATTACTAATTACATATTTATCAAAAGATGTGATTTCGAATTATTGGGGAATGGTGTCAAATGGTATGTTTTGGCTGTTTTTTTGTAGATTTGTTCCTCGGGCGTGGCGGCGCTGTGTTCGCTAGCGGCGGCGCGCGCGCAGGACGCCGTGCACTGCCTGGCGCCTCTCATGCTGGTGCTGGTGGACTCGCCGGAGTCCGTCGCCTCTACAAGCAAGTATGCACTCTATTGTATACTATGATAAGATAAAAAATATTTTATTCAGCTCGGCAAAAATCGCGCCAACACAAACGTCATGTCGAGAAGCTGGTTTTTAACGGGAAACAACGCGCGATTAGGATTGCGCACTCCTTTGACCGTGCAGGTTTGTTAACGAACAGATTATCATGGAGATTTTATTTTTATGCAGAACAAGGCAGGTATTTGACCGCAATCACACCTGATGTTAAATGAGATGCAGTGTGGAATGGTGCATATCATTATTGTTGTTTGTTTTATGATGTGGAAATCATCGTGGGAGGCCTATGTTCAGCGGTCGACGTCCTATGGCTGAAGCGATGATGAATGTGAGTCGATCAGCTGAGCTTTATTGAGTGACGTAAAGTTGTCAGGAGACATGCCATTCTACTACTGCCTTCTCGCAAGCTACCACAAGACTTGCGGCTACGAACATGTAAAAATCAAATTATAATCATGTGACTGAGATTCTTTCGCCACTTCTCAGCACCAGCCCATATGTTGTGTCCCGAAGTGGTTAGGGCAAGCTATATTTGGGACGAGTTTAAACGCTCTTTAAAGGGCCTAAGTAGTGAATAAAAGCTTTGACTTTGACTTACATTTGCAGTTGTTGTGTCAAATGTATTGTTATTTTTGGTTATTTGTAGCTGTGCCTTAAAATAAAACAAATATGACCGCGTGCTATGCTCAGAGTTTCCCTGCGTGATTGAATCAGAAATGAGGAAATCCATAGGAAACCAAAGTGACTGACTCTAATCACTAAAATCAAGTGGCAATAGGCGAGGCACATAGCTCGCAGAGCTGATGGCCGCTGGGGCAGAAAAGTTCACGAGTGGCGACCACGAGCAATAAGACGTAGTGTGGGCAAGCCTCCTTCTATCAGTCCACCACTGATGATCTGGTGAAGGTTGCGGGAGCTGCCTGAACGCGGGCGGTGCTTCTGTGGTCTTTGTGGAAATCCTTGGGTGAGGCCTTTGTCCAGCTGGATGTCATTCGGCTGAAACTAACGACCGTGTGTGTCAGGTTCACAGATCTCTTCTCGCTGATACTGGGCGGCAGCGGGCTGGTGGCGCGGGCACTGGGCCGCGGGAGCCCTGGGGCCGCATTACTGGCGCGCCTGGTGCACGAGCAGCTGGCTGGCGACTCGTGAGTCGGATCCATATTCTGGAGCTTTCAACTTTCATGGTCACTAACATCATTATTATTACCAGATCATTATTATTACAGTCTAGATATTAGCACGTCACTACCTTGTTTAATATACCACGCAATCTTGTATACCCATTCTTATAAGATACACCATACAAGAATGCATGGTAAATTCAGTGAACTGCTCCTGAATCGAATGTACCTACTACTACTATTTCTATTTANAACTTATTTTAAATTACCTGGATATTAAGATTTTTGATTGCATGCAATTGAAAAAAGTAGTTTGAGTTTACAAAATAGTGACGTCACAGGCTAGTGTTGCCATACAAAATCTATGGAAGAATCTCGTTTAGTTTTAAAAAGAAATTCATTAATCAATTGATTGTTAGTGTCAAATACCCAATTGGCGATGATCAGGCCAAAGGTAGAAGCGAGCTTCACCGGGAATCCTCAACCACAGAGGAACTGGCTATCTTACCTCTAACTGCCGGAACACAACAATGCTGTTAACATTATTGTTATGGCGACAGACTTAGGTAAGATGTAGTGGTAGGTGGCCAGGCGGACTTAGAACAAGCCTTACCACCAACAACAAGCCCTATCACGGACATTCCAGAAATAACTATAACCATAAAATAAGATTAAAAGTTGCTTAACGGCATGCCCCGATTAATGCTGAGCGGGCCCCTATTTGACAGCAGGGCACAATGTTTCTTCTTTTTGTAATTTATGTAAATGTGATGTGGTTCTGTTTGTCAAATAAAACATTTTTTACTTATTTACTTTACTTTTACTTAACGATGTTTATAAAACTTTGCAGTGGAGAAGCTAGAGCCGTCGTCGATATCGTGCCTCGCCGTAGACCGCTGGCGCCCTCAACCGCACGAGGCGTATGACGTAGCGTTCGACTGGTCCCAACGCTGCCCTCATCTGCTGCCGGCGCTGTTATTGAATCTCGACTATACGCCGCACACGTAAGATCCGTTTTTCAATGGCTAGACTTGTCCTCGATATCGAAAGCATTTGTAAAATCCGTTCTTAGCGGTCGTCTACACCCTATAAGGAACCTACCTGCCTTTCATGTTTGTAGGTGTGATGGTTTCTGAGATTTCGTGATTAATCAGTAAGTGGTATTTTGCGTTTATAATACTAGCGGCCGCCCACGACTTCGTACGCGTGGATCCCGTTTTACCCCCGGTTAGGAGTGGAGTTTAGTAAAATCTCGTCTCAGTGAGCACCTACGTTGTAAAAGGAACCTCCAAGGAACCCCCATTTGAGACTCCTAGCACTTGTAGTTTCCGAGTCGTGATGATAGAGTGAGTCAGTGACCTTTCGCTTGTCACCTTATTTTTAATAGTTATAGTGACAATAAAGGTTCATTTAATTTAATTTAATTTAACTAGCGGCCGCCCGCGACTTCGTACGCGTGGATCCCGTTTTACCCTCTTAGGGGTGGAATTTCGTGATATTCTTTCTTAGCGGATGCCTACGTCATAACATCTGCCTGCATGTCACAGCCCGATCCGTCCAGTGGTTTGGGCTGTGCGTTGATAGATCACTATGTCAGTCAGGCACCTTTGAGTTATGTATATTTAGGTACATTATTTCATTGCAGCGGAATATCCTTAGACGCGCAGCTAGGGCTGGGCGGCTGGCTGTGCTCGCACGTGCGATCCCTCTCGCCAGCCGAGCCCGATGACTGGTGTTGGCGGGTGCTGCGGGCGCTGCGCCTGCACCGCGCGTGCTGGGGGCTGCGGCCCGAGGCGCCGCCTCCCGACCCCGAGCCAGACGATCTGTTCTCGAAGGCGTACGCGCTGATGCAGAGCTCGTGGGGACACTGTATACCTTTGGTGAGACTTTTTAAGGAAGCCCCTCGACTCTGAACCGTATTGCCAGTTCTTTAGGGCAGAAACTGCGTTAAGCGGACGCCCGCGCGGTTCCATACAAAGTGCTCCGTCGCAGGCACCCGTGCGGGGGACTTTCGTATGAAACTGCGCGGGCGTCCGCTTAACGCAGTTTCGGGCCTTAAGGCGCACGCGCTGATTACGAGCTCTTGGAGACACTGAATACACCGTAAGCCTGGTGATTATTGCTTAAGCGGTGTCGCATCGATTGAGTGTTCTACAGAAGCTAAAGCTCCACCCCTCAAGGCGTACCTAATTACAGAGGCCTTCGCGCTGATATTGCAGTGTACTATAGTCTGGTCTGTGAGCACGTAGAAATTTGTCCAATGACCGCTAGCTACCCATCCTTATCGCTCGCGCGTAATTATGTTGCTGTCGCGTTCGCACACTCACTGCGGTCCCGTCCCACAGTCGCGACAGCAACATATTTACGCGCGAGAGATAAGGATGGGTAGCTCGGGGTCGTTGGACAAAATTCTACGTGCTCACAGACCGGGCTTTAGGGAAGCTAAGGCCCCGCCCCTCAACTGAGCCGTATAAGTTTCGTGGCTGTGCTCGCGCGTGCACTCTCTCTGCGTCTGATGGCGGGCGCTGCGCCTGCACCGCGCGTGCTGGGGGCTGCGGCCCGAGGCGCCGCCCCCCGACCCCGAGCCCGACGATCTGTTCTCGAAAGCGTACGCGCTGATGCAGAGCTCGTGGGGACACTGCATACCTTTGGTGAGACTTGTTAAGGAAGCTTAGGCCCCGCCCCTCGATGACAGGTTCTTTAAGGCGTTGATTACGACCTCTTGGAGGCACTGTATACCTGTGGTAAGCCTGGCGTTTATTGTTTAAGTGGTATTGCATAGATTGAGTGTTCTGCGCAAGCTAAGGCCCTGCCCCTCAAAGGCGCACCTGATCTCCAATGCGTACCGTGAGCCTGTTGTTTAGGCGGTATTGCATTTATACGGTATAGGCGTACGCGCTGATGGAGAGCTCGTGGGGACACTATACCTTTGCTGAAACTGATGTTTATTTGAATGTATTCATTAAGAAAGCTAAGGCTCCGCCGGTCGACTCTGAATGGTATGACTTTCGTGGCTGTGCTCGCACGTGCGATCCCTCGCGCCAGCCGAGCCCGATGACTGGTGCTGGCGGGCGCTGCGGGCGCTGCGGGCGCTGCGCCTGCACCGCGCGTGCTGGGGGCTGCGGCCCGAGGCGCCGCCCCCCGACCCGGAGCCCGACGATCTGTTCTCGAAGGCGTACGCGCTGATGCAGAGCTCGTGGGGACACTGCATACCTTTGGTGAGACTTGTTAAGGAACCTCAGGCCCCGCCCCTCGACTCTGAACCGTATGACCAGTTCTTTAAGGCGCACGCGCTGATCACGAGCTCTTGGAGACACTGAATACACCGTAAGCCTGGTGTTTATTGTTTAAGCAGTATCGCATCGACTGAGTGTTCTACAGAAGCTAAAGCTCCGCCCCTTAAGGCGTACCTAATCACAAAGGCGTACCTAATCACAAAGGCGTACGCGCTGATATTGCAGTGTACTATAGTCTGGTCTGTGAGCACGTAGAAATTTGTCCAATGACCACTAGCTACCCATCCTTATCGCTCGCGCGTAATTATGTTGCTGTGGCGCTCGCACACTTACTGCGGGCGCCGTCGCACAGTCGCGACAGCAATATAAATACGCGCGAGCGATAAGGATGGGTAGCTACGGGTCATTGGACAAAATTCTACGTGCTCACAGACCGGGCTTTAGGGAAGCTAAGGCCCCGCCGACCCGCCGCCCCGTTGACTCTGAATGGTATGACTTACGTGACGTGCTCGCACGTGCGATCCCTCGCGCCCGCCGAGCCCGACAACTGGTGTTGGCGGGCGCTGCGTAGTACTAGCTACCTCGGTAGCTCGGTGTCATTGGACAAAATTCTACGTGCTCACAGACCGGGCTTTAGGGAAGCTAAGGCCCCGCCGACCCGCCGCCCCGTTGACTCTGAATGGTATGACTTACGTGACGTGCTCGCACGTGCGATCCCTCGCGCCCGCCGAGCCCGACGACTGGTGTTGGCGGGCGCTGCGTAGCACTAGCTACCTCGGTAGCTCGGTGTCATTGGACAAAATTCGACGTGCTCACAGACCGGGCTTTAGGGAAGCTAAGGCCCCGCCCCTCAACTGAGCCGTATAAGTTTCGTGGCTGTGCTCGCGCGTGCACTCTCTCTGCGTCTGATGGCGGGCGCTGCGCCTGCACCGCGCGTGCTGGGGGCTGCGGCCCGAGGCGCCGCCCCCCGACCCGGAGCCCGACGATCTGTTCTCGAAGGCGTACGCGCTCATGCAGAGCTCGTGGGGACACTGCATACCTTTGGTGAGACTTGTTAAGGAAGCTTAGGCCCCGCCCCTCGATGACCGGTTCTTTAAGGCGTTGATTACGACCTCTTGGAGGCACTGTACACCTGTGGTAAGCCTGGCGTTTATTGTTTAAGTGGTATTGCATAGATTGAGTGTTCTGCGCAAGCTAAGGCCCCGCCCCTCGAAGGCGCACGCGCACCTGATCTCCAAGGCGTACACGCTGCTGGCAAGTTCTTGGGGACACTGAATACACCGTAAACCTGGCGTTTATTGTTTAAGCGGTATTGCATTGATGCGGCATTGCAGTGTGCTAGGGAAGCTAAGGCCCCGCCCCTCAATTGAACTGTACAACTTTCGTGGCTGGGGTATCGCATTGATTGAGTGTTCTGCGCAAGCTAAGGCCGCTGCCACTTGATTTTAGCAATAAACTATTCGACACCACCAATCGATTGACGCACTCTTTAAACCGGTCAAAACGAAACCCATAGATTTTGTATGGCAATACAAGCAAGTGACGTCACTATTTTGGCAACTCAATTAAACTACTTTTTTCAATGAGGGTTTTCGCGATTGAAAAATCCGCCAGATGGCAATACGTAGACGTGAGGTCCAAATGCTGCATGATTGGTTATTTTTGACATGACATTGACAGATATGTCAAAATCCACTAATCATGCAGCATTTGGACCTCCCATCTACGTATAGCCATCTGGCGGATTTTTCAATCGCGAAAACCCGTCATTACAATGCAACCAAAAATCTTTACAGGTAATTTAAATTAATAAGTTTTTATAACCAAAATGAGGTGTCTTTTTAAAAAAGATGTGATTTCGAATTATTGGGGAATGGTGTAAAATAGTATATTTGGCTGTTTTTTTGTAGATCTGTTCCTCGGGCGTGGCGGCGCTGTGTTCACTAGCGGCGGCGCGCGCGCAGGACGCCGTGCACTGCCTGGCGCCTCTCATGCTGGTGCTGGTGGACTCGCCGGAGTCCGTCGCCTCCACGACCAAGTATGCACTCTATTGTATACACTGACTAAAGTCAGTTCGCCGAGAGTTGATAAATATTATGAAATGTCTTGCAATAGCGACTGTCGCTTAATTATCGCATTCTGTATGGCGGGCGTCGTTTGTCACAATGCGCACTGAGTACCATGGTACGAGCCACGCAGCTGTCGTCAAGCGCCCCGGCCGGCGGGCGGCGGCGGCCACAGCGTGACCACTTTTAGTAGATTTCTACTTTTTTGGTAGATTTGAGGCAAAGAGAACGATGATTTAGTAGTGCGAAATCGTTTAGTAGATTTTGGTAGATAATTTTTATTTTTAGAAAATTCTTATAAATGGTAGTCCAAAATTAAATTGTAACCGAGCTGAGAATCCAGGCCAAAAAAAAAGCCAGGCCAAATAATCTTCCAACTTTTTCATTATATCGACAAAAATAATAAGCGGGCCGCAATTTATAATGAGTTTAGAACCTCTGATATTTAATTTTTTTTATCAACACTCGGCGAACAGACTTTAGTTCCTTGTAGATCTGTTCCTCGGGCGTGACGGCGCTGTGTTCGCTAGCGGCGGCGCACGCGCAGGACGCCGTGCACTGCCTGGCGCCTCTCATACTGGTGCTGGTGGACTCGCCGTAGTCCGTCGCCTCTACAAGCAAGTATGCACTCTGTTGTATACTATGATAAGATAAAAAATACTTTATTCAGCTCGGCAATAATCGAGAAGCTGGTTTTTAACGGGAAACAACGCGCGATTAGGATTCCGCACTCCTTTGACCGTGAAGGTTTGTAAACGAACAGATTCGTTCGTTCGTTCGTTTCAGCCGAAAGACGTCCACTGCTGGACAAAGGCCTCCCCCAAGGATTTCCACAAAGACCGGTCCTGCGCCGCTTGCATCCAGGTACCTCCCGCGACCTTCACCAGATCGTCGGTCCGCTTAGCGGGAGGCGAACGAACAGATTATTATGGAGATTTTATTTTTTGGCAGGTTGTTGATCGCAATAGCACCTGATGTTAAAAGAGATGCTGTGTGGGATGGTACATTTATCATTCATCTTCTATACTTATAATAAATCTGTAGAGAGGTCAATTCTGTACATTAAATATATTTTCAAAATAACTATCAGGGGGTTATTAGTGATCGATACTGATGCCAAAAATGCAATCAGTAAAATTTTTGTCTGTCTGTCTGTCTGTCTGTCTGTCTGTATGTTCCTTATAGAAACAAAAACTACTCGACGGATTTTAACGAAACTTGGCACAATTATTCTTCATACTCCTGGGCAGGTTATAGGATACTTAGGAATTCCCACGGGAATGGGAATTAGCGGGAAAATCGTTTTGTATGAAAAATCTGAATCGCTTAAGTTAGATGCTTGAAATTCGGCATGCAGGTACTTTAGTAAACTTAAAGCTTAGTTACAAAAGGATATTGCAAAATTCCCACGGGAACGGGAGTTAGCGGGAAAAAACATTTGTATGAAAAATCTAAACCGCTTAAGTTAGACGCTTGAAATTTGGCATGCAAGGTACCTTAGTAAACTTGAAGCTTAGTTACAACAGGATATTGCAAAATTCCCACGGGAACGGGAGTTAGCGGAAAAAAACATTTGTATGAAAAAATCTAAACCGCGTAAGATAGATGAAGGGGGTAAAACGGGATCCACGCGTACGAAGTCGCGGGCGGCCGCTAGTTGTTAATAATAATAATCAATCGGGCGATGTGGAAATCATCGGGGGAGGCCTATGTTCATGGACGTCCTGCGGCTGAAACGATGATGATGAATGTGAGTCGATCAGCTGAGCTTTATTGAGTGACGTAAAGTTGTCAGGAGACATGCCATTCTACTACTGCCTTCTCGCAAGATACCACAAGACTTGCGGCTACGAACATGTAAAAATCAAACTATAATCATGTGATTGAGATTCTTTCGCCACTTCTCAGTAACATCCCATATTATGTTGTGTCCCGAAGTGGTTAGGGCAAGCTATATTTAGGACGAGTTTAAACGCCCTGGAAAGGACCTAAGTACTGAATAAAAGCTTTGACTTTGACTCACATTATGCAGTTGATGTGTCAAATGTATTGTTATTTTTGGTTCTTTGTAGCTGTGCCTTAAAATAAAATAAATATGACTGCGTGCTATTCTCGGAGTTTCCCTGCGTGATTGAATCAGAAATGAGGAGATCCGCAGGAGAACCAAAGTGACTAACATAGCCCGCAGAATCACTAAAATCAAGCAATGGCAATGGGCGGGGCACATAGCTCGCAGAGCTGATGGCCGCTGGAGTAGGAAAGTTCTTGAGTGGCGACCACGAGCCGGAAGACGTAGTGTGGGCAAGCCTCCCTCTATCAGTCCACCACTGATGATCTGGTGAAGGTTGCGGGAGCTGCCTGGATGCGGGCGGCGCTTCTGCGGTCTTTGTGGAAATCCTTGGGGGAGGCCTTTGTCCAGCAGTGGACGTCATTCGGCTGAAACCAGGCCTGTTCATCTCCGCGAGTTTACATCGAAAACAAAACACGCACGATGGCCCACCTACAGGATACTATTCAACAAGGCCTCACATACGAGCGAACATTGATTCACGCACGCGTATTCTTGTGTATGATGGAAGAAAATAAAGAAAATGGTGTACTAAATACTGTGCAGTATTTAACTGCCTAAATAATAATAAAAACACAGAATGTACTTTTTTAAGTTGCCTTAAGACACTGAGAGGTAAATAAGTAGTTAATATTATTCATGATAATTCATGCTAAATCATGTATTTCCTCCGCCATTTTCCGCAGTTTGGCACCTCACGTCACATCGTTAGACTCTTGAGACAGGCTAAATTACACCATATTGTTAATGACATTGAGCATACATTTTTTTAAATACCTTCGCGAAGTAAAACATCTGTACGTAGTACTTATTATTATTCTGTGCTGAAACTAAGGACCGTGTGTATCAGGTTCACAGATCTCTTCTCGCTGATAATGGGCGGCGGCGGGCTGGTGGCGCGGGCACTGGGCCGCGGGAGCCCTGGGGCCGCATTACTGGCGCGCCTGGTGCACGAGCAGCTGGCTGGCGACTCGTGAGTCCGATTCATATTCTGGAGCTTTCAACTTTCATGGTCACTAACATCATTATTATTACCAGAGTAAATACAAATGAGTAGGTCATCTTCATAGAAACGCCCGAGCGCGGTTTGTGAGTGCGCCAATGCGTATGCGGCGCACACACACACACTGACAAAATTTAGCGTGAATTAGCGGTGAGGCTCGGGCGTTTCTATGAAGATGACCTACTCATTTGTATTCACTCTGTTATTACTGACGGGATTGCTACTACTGTAAGTGTTGTGTGTCGAGAACAGTTGCGAGAAAATAGTGAGTTTGTGAACAGTGGTACGGGAGGCAATAAAAAAACTCGAAAGAGGGTAGACCGATATGTCTGCCCATAACATCTCACCCGCAAGTTTCCTCAGTTACTCCGTGACCATGGTGCTTAAGTAACAGTGCCGAAATATCGGAAAATCAAAATTAAGGTACATAAAATAGTAAGACACGGGTCTTAACGCGACGTTTATTAATGAGTTACATTATATACTCACGGCTTGACGTTTCGGCTACTATTTGTAAATTATAAAATATAAATTAAAATAAAAAAGTAATTATAAACATATGTAACTCATTAATAAACGTCGCGTTAAGACCCGTATCTTACTATTTTAGTTGAACGCGAAAGTTTAAAATCTTATATTAAGGTACATGGTAGCAATCCCGTCAGTAATAATAATTATATTCTGGAGCTGTTTGAAGCTGAACCCGTTATCTGAAAAGTGATTGAGTGAATTGCGCTGCTTCTTCTCAGCACTGGTCCATTTATTGCCGAAGCAGTGGTAGGGTTAATACAGGGACGTGTAAAAGGGCTTTTAAAAAGCTTCCTGCAAAAATACAATTAGTTTTATGAGTTTTCATAGAAGTAAACAAAGCAAAACAATTTCTACTCTTAAGGCTTAGCGCTTAAAGTCCGTTCTGTCTTTGTGGAGCCTCTTTTTCATGTTCACATGCGTGGGCTTATTCCATTATTCCCCGTTGACAATCCCCGTCAAAACAAAAAGTTCACTAATCCCCGTTAAAGCCAATTGGAGCTTATATTAGGATTTTATTTTGAACGTTATAAGTTCCAATTTAACGTTAACGAGGAATAGTGAACAAAAAGTTCACTAATCCCCGTTGACGGGGATTGTCAGCGGGGAATAGTGGAATAAGCCCATCCGTGGTATTGCATCAGATGCGGCGGCGTGCCCCACTCGGCGCTAGTCCGCGTGTGGATATGCGCGCTATGGCGGCCGGCGCCGGGGGCGGCGGCGCTATTGGACGCCGCGCTGCGCCCGCGCGATCTCTGGCAGCTGAACGAGTTCGCGCAGCACCAGGTAGCTTACAAGTGTTAGGTAGGAACAGATGCAGCATCGTTCGTACCCCATTTGGCGCTAGTTCCTGAGTGGTTGCCAGCGCTATGGCGGCCGGCGCCGGGGCCGGCGGCGCTATTGGACGCCGCGCTGCGCCCGCGCGATCTCTGGCAGCTGAACGAGTTCGCGCAGCACCAGGTAGCTTACAAGTGTCAGATAGGAACAGATGCAGCACGTACCCCACTCGCCGCTAGTCCGCGTGTGGATATGCGCGCGCTATGGCGGCCGGCGCTACTGGACGCCGCGTTGCGCCCGCGCGACCTTTGGCAGCTGAACGAGTTCGCGCAGCACCAGGTAGCTTACAAGTGTTAGGTAGGAACAGATGCAGCAGCGTACCCCATTCGGCGCTAGTTCCCGTGTGGATATGTGCGCTATGGCGGCCGGCGCTACTGGACGCGCGCTGCCCTCGCGCGATCTCTGGCAGCTGAACGAGTTCGCGCAGCACCAGGTAGCTTACAAGTGTTAGGTAGGAACAGATGCAGCATCGTACCCCATTCGGCGCTAGTTCCCGAGAGGGTGTGCGCGCTATGGCGGCCGGCGCTACTGGACGCCGCGCTGCGTCCGCGCGATCTCTGGCAGCTGAACGAGTTCGCGCAGCACCAGGCAGCTTACAAGTGTCAGATAGGAACAGATGCAGCATCGTACCCCACTCGGCGCTAGTCCGCGTGTGGATATGCGCGCGCTATGGCGGCCGGCGCTACTGGACGCCGCGCTGCGCCCGCGCGACCTTTGGCAGCTGAACGAGTTCGCGCAGCACCAGGTAGCTTACAAGTGTTAGGTAGGAACAGATGCAGCAGCGTACCCCATTCGGCGCTAGTTCCCGTGTGGATATGTGCGCTATGGCGGCCGGCGCTACTGGACGCGCGCTGCCCTCGCGCGATCTCTGGCAGCTGAACGAGTTCGCGCAGCACCAGGTAGCTTACGAGTGTTAGGTAGGAACAGATGCAGCATTGTACCCCACTCGGCGCTAGTTCCCGAGTGGGTGTGCGCGCTACTGGACGCCACGCTGCGCCCGCGCGACCTTTGGCAGCTGTACGAGTTCGCGCAGCACCAGGTAGCTTACAAGTGTTAGGTAGGAACAGATGCAGCGTCGTACGCCATTCGGCGCTAGTTCCCGAGTGGGTGTGCGCGCTATGGCGGCCCGCGGGATCTTTGGCAGCTGAACAAGTTCGCGCAGCACCAGGTACGGGACTATTCCCACCTCTCGTTCCCACCGCTGCAACTCCTGTGTAGCCAGGATCTACAGCTTGACCGCCAATAAAAACCCAACCAGTGAACGTCAAGTTCGTACTGGGGGAAAGTTAAACTGTCATTGGACCCCGCAACGAAATTAATCAGAAGAACATAGGAGGAGTTCGAAATTAAGGTAGCAGCACCAGGTAGCTTATAGCGCCAGAAAACGTTCATTCGTTTCAGCCAAATGACGTCCACTGCTGGACAAAGGCCTCCCCCAAAGATTTCCATAACGACCGGCCCTGCGCTGCCCGCTGCCGCTGCATCCAGGTTCTTCCCGCGACCTTCACCAGATCATAGGTCCACCTAGCGGGAGGACTGCCGCCCACGCTGACGTCTTCCGACCCGTGGACGGTTCCCAACTTCGCAGCACGTCTCTGTTACAATCGGAATAAGGTCGTGTTGAAACTCTTCGTGTGGCCGAGCTCCATTTTTGTTACTTTCTAACAGGTCTAAAATGAAATTATGTTGCTAAGACTCTAATTTACCGATCAATTGACGTACTTTTTAAGAGTAGGCGCACACCGTTGATTTTTCGTCGGCCGATAGTTCAGTCGGGCAGTTGATCAACCCACCACCACCCATGGCCATGCCAACCTTGCGGTTATAACTGGCCGAATCGCGGGAGATGCGCGAGGAACTGTGTCTGCCGTAGCAGGTTGCACTCTGCCGCGCGCAACGCTTGACTCCCTACAAATTGATCAGTATGAGCATGTATGGGAGTGCGCACACTACGCCGATTCGATTTGGCCGATTCTTCATACAATTTAAAATCGGGCACAACTATCGGCCAACTAAAAATTAACGGTGTGCGCCTACTCTAAAAATGTCAAAAACGATTATCTCCCATAGATTTTGTATGGCAATACAACCCTGTCACGTCACAAAACACACCTATATTTTGTCAACTCAATTAAACTACAATCACAATGCAACCAAAAAAAAGGTACCTAATTTAAAATTAATTAAGTTTTGAAGACCAGAATGATGATTGTGTCTTTTTAAAAAGTTGTGTGTGACTTGACTTAAGGTCCCATGTCCCCTAGACGGGACAGAGGGCGTCCACAACAGCCCTCCATCGCGTTCGGTCTCGAGCTTCGCGTTTGATCTCGCTCCAAGTCTTGCCTATCTTCTTTGCCTCGCCTGCCACACGTTTTAAAAGTTGTGATTTCGAATTATTTTGGAATGGTGTCAAATAGTCTATTATTTTACAATTAAATGGCAATGCCAGGTTTTGTATGGAAGGTGGCGTCTTTTTTTTTTCGCGCGGCCATCGACCAAACCGTGTTTTCCACACTGATGTCTGGAGCCTTTAATGGATGGTATTGTTGGTTTACACATACATACAATGTCACTATTTTGTTGCAATTTCTTATAAAACTTGCGCGCAAAAAGCAAATCTAGTATGTAAAATCATCTGTACCGTGAGAGAAGTACATCTAAAGAATGCTAAATGAAATACTGGAGATTGAGATAGTTAAGAGTTTATTGCTATATGTCGTAAACATAGCTGGGCATTAACTCGTTAATCCGTTAATCGTTAATTAACGAAGTTAACATTTCTATTAACGGATTAACTTTTAAGTTAACTTTAAAAAATGTTAACGGACTCGTTAACTTCCGTTAAATTATCCTAAGTCCGTTAATCGTTAATCCAGTACCTACTATTTACCAAAAAGATACAGCAGGCACGCTGAAAAACACTAGAAAAATGCGTTCTGACAAGTACGTTCGGGCTTCTAGAACTTCCAGAACCCAAAACAACAGTTTTTGTAACCAGAAAGAAACGATATAAAAATGCTATTTTTTATTTATTTACAAGCTTATACATGGTGGAATTATGTAATGGAGGGAAAGTACTCTTAATACTGCAGATAGAAAATTTTACTGAAAGAAAACATTCCTTTATTTTTGAAAAGAAAGAGAACTGCATTTAAGATTTTATGGATTTCCTTTAAGATAAGATAAGATAATCATATATTGTCGTTTCTGTGTAAGTACATTAGTTGTTAAAAATAATACATGCATGTCAAGGTATCAACAGAATTGTCCATTTCGGACGTACAATATATATTTGGTAGTATAAATTATTACATTAATTGGATTAAATATCATTTACATGTCAATTTTACAGTTGTTTACTTGTCATTAAAATTATTAATTGATTTCGGACGTTTAATATTATAGTAGTCATAAATTATTACATTAATTGGATTTAATTTCATTTACATGTCAATTTTACGGATTACTAATGTTTGGCCAAAAAACGTTTCCCAAATTATCACATCGCAAACAACGTTTCGCAAAATTTCATTTGGCAAAACAACTTATTGCAAACTTTTAATTCGCAAATGTCGATTTTGGCATATTATTGTTTAGCAAATTATTGTTTGGCAAAATACGTTTTACGTTTTAAAAATATTTCACGATAAACTATTTACCTACAAAATAATTTGATTGGTGCATAGAATGGAATACAAATTAGCTTGTGGTTATTATTTTGTTTAGTGGGTAGTTAATATAAAAGGACAATGTTCATTTCTGGCCTGGCGTGGACAAGCTGCTAATGAAAATATGAATTTGCCAAAAATTTTTAATTAATTTTTAAAGTATTCACTTAGTGTAACTTTGTATCAATTTGCCTTTATAAAAACCCATTTTAAATAGTACTCTAAGTGATAATTACAACTTCCTGTCTTTATCACTCATTTCAGTGTTGCCAAAATGAATCTTATCGGTAAGAATCGATTCATATCGATTGTTGTTCGACTATGACAATTATTATTTTTTTAAATACGTATTCATTAAAATGACATTTATAAAACCTTTTTAATATTCTAATAACACTACCAAAACATGCTGTGGAGCCCCAACAAACACATGATGGGACGAGGATTCATTTGCCCTGATATTGGCCGAATAACAGTAGGTTGCTGTGCTCATGTTATGACAATTTTGTGGTTTTTGAGCTGGGCAAGGTATCAGGAACATGTATTTCCACCTGCCTAGTTCCTAGACAATATTTTATTGACCCATGAGTCAGATTAAAATAATAATAAAAAAAAATGGTGTTTTATTTTGCTTCTAACCTTTCTAGTCTTAATCAAAAAAAATTTTTTTAAGGACTTGGATACAAAATGATATTTATAATCTGTTTCTTACTGGTATAGACTATTTAATAAATAACAAATCACATGCTGTAATGTCTGTCCACCTCAGGCCAAAGGTCCCATACTAAGTGGGCATAACCCTTTGTTCTAAATTAATTTTCATATTTATTTTCATTCTTTTTATCGAAATTTCCAAATATTCATTAACAGTAGAGGTGATTCTAGCGCTCGGCCGCCGCTGCCGCGGCACGCTTCGCTCGCCTTCGCGCGTTAAGGGTCACTGTCTAACCTAACCTATCCTACTATTTTCTGCAATACCTACTTTCTGCAACCATACTATTTTCTGCAATGTCTTTGTTTTAAATAAAATTCTTGTGAAAACCATGATCATGTGCCTTATGCAGTACTTATTATTATTCTGTGCTTATGCTTTGATTTGTGGGTAACGGTGGGTAAGTATGTGAACTGTCAATTTGACCAAACAAATTATTTGGGATATAATATTTGGCAAAATAAAACAAGTGCTGTATAAAAATTTGCCAAGTAAAATTTTGCCAAATGATAATTTGACCAAATGAATTAGTTGCGAAAAGTACAGTTGCTAAAAGTTCATTTGGGAAATGAAACTTTGGCGATAAGTTGTTTGCGAAGTGAAATTTGGCGAAAAGTAATTTGGCCAAACGGAAGGATACCCAATTTTACATTAGTTTACTTGTCATTAAAATATTCATTGAGGTCATAAAATCATTTGGTTAGTAGCCAGTCCTTGAGCGTTCTTTTAAATTTAGGGCCCTCTTAAAGATTTTATAAAAACGGGTAGCTTATTAAACACTTTGATGCCCATTACAAATACACTTTCATTTGATTTATCAAGTTTGTTAGAGAGATTTCATCCTTACACTTGACCCTAACGATCGATGCAATAAAAATACAGGGTGTAATTTTTAACAGATTTTAGTTGGTTCGATTCCCGGGTTGCTAATATTTTTTGGAAATCTTTGAATGCAGTTCTATTTGTTTTCAAAAATAAAGGAATGTATTTTTGATAAATTTTTTTCTATCTACACCCTGTATATTGACTTCACTTGTTAGCATGTGTGGGACAAATCTTGCAACTGAATTTAAGGCCAGTTCTCCTCAACCGATTGAGCTGTAATTTGGTATACTTATGTAAGTACGATGAAAATGTAATTTTGTGGTACCATTGAGCTGGTCTAATGATGGAGTCAGGAGGCGGCCATAGGAACTTCTAAATGAAACGGCGGAATCGCATCGAATTTGGGTTTGTTGGATTTGTCTTTTCGAGCACATTGGTGCTAATTTAGCACCAATGTATTGTAATTGAACCAAGGCTCTGAGATTGAGATACTATAGACTAAGAGCTGGTGAACGCCAGACCAACGTCATATTATAAAAGCTGAAAGTTTGTCAGCGTATGCTCCCAATATAGGTTAGAATGTTGGTGGATTATGAAGTTTGGGTCATCGTGGCTTTGGCAGCTATCCTAAAAAATCTGTCTGGCAAGGAGTTGGAACTGTCAAAACTGTCTGGCTAGAAAGAGGAATAAATTCCATGCGCGATACAAGCTTTCGAAATGTGTTAACGGATTAACGATTAACGTTAACTTGCGTTAAGTCTTGCTGAATGTAACGTTTTAACGTTTAACGAAGTTAATTTTTTTATTAACGGTTTAACGATTAACGAAGTTAACTATTTGATTAACGGTGCCCAGCTATGGTCGTAAATTACAATGTTATGCTAATGCTAAGAATGACGTGTGATTGCTATGAATGCGATGAAAGCACTGATTTATTGAACGGAATTAGAACGTACAAACGGCGGAATTGCTGACGGAATGATTTGAGTGTAATACAATATGTACACCGTACATCATCAAACTTCTAATGCTCGTAACTCAATTCAGACTGAGTTTAGAGATGTACATGTCATAGTAAGTTTGGTTTATTACACTATTTTGTAATCAAAAAACAAGGTTTGGTCGATGGCCGCGCGAAAAAAAAAAGACGCCAATTTCCGGCATTGTCTTTTGTGCAGAACGAAGACTGGGTCCAGCAAATGAGTGCGGCGATTCGTGCGTCGTCGAGCGCGCCTCTGCTGAGCTACGCCGCGCTGGGCGCGTGGCTGGTGCGGCGCGAGCTGGCGCCGGCGCTGCTGCCGCGCCTCGAGGCGGCGCTGCTGCTCCAGCGCGCCGGCAACCAGCGCATACACGTCGCCAACGCGCTCAGTGTAATTTTTATTTCATAGAGTATAGTTTATTTCATAGAGATATAGAGAGATGCCAACTAATGCGCTGAGTTCGAAACTCAGTTAGTCCAGTCCACCTTTAAAGGGGGGCGCGGGCCGTCTGTGTACTTAATTGATAAGTATAAACCTGCGACCGCTAGAGAATGCATTCCAGACTGCTCGATACGACCAATAAATAATCTTGACTGGAGGAGGGGGGGCGCACAATTTTTTGTATGTACGAAAGGGGGCGCGTCTCAAATAAGTGTGGGAACCAACGGTGTAGAGGGAAATGCGTGGAACACAATTTCTGCCTTCGGGACTGGGTCCAGCAAATGAGCACGAGTTCGCTGGGCGCGTGGCTGGTGCGGCGCGAGCTGGCGCCGGCGCTGCTGCCGCGCCTCGAGGCGGCGCTGCTGCTCCAGCGCGCCGGCAACCAGCGCATACACGTCGCCAACGCGCTCAGTGTAATTTTTATAGTTTATTACATAGAGATATACAGGGTGGAATTTTGTAATGCCACCTGGAGGGAAAGTACTCTTAATATTTGTAGATAGAATTTTTTTCTCAAAGAAAACATTCCTTTATTTTTAAAAAGAAATAGAACTGCATTCAAAGATTTCCAAAAATTTGCTTGCCACACCTGGGAATCGAACCAACTAAAATCTGTTAAAAATTACACCCTGTATTTTTATTGCATCGATCATTAGGGTTAAGTATAAGAATGAAATCTCTCTAACAAACTTGATAAATCAAATGAAAGGAAAACCATGAAATCTTAAATTATTTTAATTATGTACAGAAAACTGTATGGTATGGTAGTGAATTTTTGAAAAATTTTCGAAAATCTTTGAATGCAGTTCTCTTTCTTTTAAAAAATAAAGGAATGTTTTCTTTGAGTAAAATTTTCTATCTACAATATTAAGGGTACTTTTACCCTCCAGGTGGCATTACAAAATTCCACCCTGTAGAGAGATGCCAACTAATGCGCTGAGCTCGTAACTCAATTAGTCCAACTAAAATAGTAAGACACGGATCTTAACGCGACGTTTATTAATGAGTTAAATTATGTACTCACGGCTTGACGTTTTGGCTGCGATGCTGCAGCCGTGGTCACAAGCAGACTGGCGGCGTCAGTTAGTCCAGTCAATGAATGAATGAATGAATGACGGTATAAAGGAACGCGAAAGTTTAAAATCTTATATTACAAACCGATGAAATATTGTCGAAGTTGGAAAAGTATGGCATTAAATTTAAATCGTCTTTTTAACGATTTATTTTCTCAGCTAATCGGATCGTCGACGTCGGCGGAAGACCTGGTGATATACAAGACGGCGGCGGCCATTCTCGGCGCGCCGATGGCACACTTCGCGCATCTCCTACTCTGGGCGTTGCTGATGCAGCTGTATCTCTCCCGTGGGCCTGGCGGTGGGTGAGTATTAAGCCACGATATTAGTGAAGTCCGGTCGCCAAGCACGTAGTCGTCCAATGACCCCAAGCTACCCATCCTTATCGACTGTGCGACGGGCGGCCGCAGTGAGTGCGAGCTTCTAAAGCCCGGTCTGTGAGCACGTAGAATTTTGTCACACACGCACACTCACTGCGGCCGCCCGTCGCACAGTCGCGACATCAATATAATTACGTGCGAGCGATAAGGATGGATAGCTTGGGGTCATTGGACAAAATTCTACGTGCTCGCAGACCACACTATACGTGAACGTGAATTCTACGTGCTCGGCGACCGGACTTTAGCCAGTTTTGTTCTTTTACATAGTAATAATTAGGGTCATAGGATTTCTTTAGTTGGAGTTAATTTAATTGCCGCTTGATACAAAAGATAAATTTTATTATTATTATGTTGAATTTAATCATAAACAGTAAGCCAATTCATTTATTTGCCTCCTGTACATTAGATCCTCTGGTTAAGACTAAATGACCGTAATTATCAGATTCTTAAACTGAGATAAAGTCCAGTTTTCTATTGTCTAGAAAATATTGTGATTTAAACTTCGCTTCCCAGCCCAGAAACCCCAGCAGTGGGCCCGCTATTCTTCAGCGGAATCATCAAGTCGCGCACTCTTGCGCAGCTCAAGCGCCGCCTCCAAGACTCCATCAAGTATCACCAGAGCGAGCAGAAAAGATTAGCTTCAGAAAACCCTGAACCCACCACTCCAGCTCCAAATACATCCAGGATAGTCAAGTCCGAATCGAGGAGTCTCGATGGTCAACTGATGCCGTTATCGATTAACGATTTGACGTGCGAGTCGAGCGATTCCAGCGAGTCGGATGACTCGGAAGAGGAGAGAGTGGCATCGCGCAGGGGCTCGACGGAGGAAAATGATGTATACATGAAGAATGTCAAGTTGGCGATCAAGTACCATGCGGCGGCTGAGAGGTAAGTGCTTTTAATGTTATCCTACTTCCTACTAATATTATAAATGCGAAAGTTTGTGTGGATGTCTGGATGTTTGTTATTCTTTCACACAAAAACTACTGAACGGATTTTGATGAAACTTTACAGTATTATTGTTTATAACCCAGATTAACATATAGGCTATAATTTATGACGATATGTGACAAACTAAATTTCAATAAATAAATTGCAACTTCAAAGCCGTGTACGCATGGGCCACACAAAACAAGGACTTTCCGACTGGTAGTGCTCACATCAATATAATTCTTAAACGCATTGGTGTATTTATATGATTTTTACCAGTTTCTAGTGAATAATTTAAGCTACCTATCCAAGTTTTTTCATTTTTATGTTGGCTAGAAATATCCTATAATCATTAGTTATTGAACAACCCTAATAACATAACACGTATTTAAAATGTTCTCGCCTTTGCTAGCTATACTTGCTCAAATCTGTGGGGGCCCGGTGACCTGTAACACAGGCATTCNAAGAAAATGCGCTACCCAGGCATTCATTTACCTAGCTTAGGCTCCAGGTCTCACACACTCATTAATGCGTTTTCTTTAAATGTATTGTATCCTGTATTTTTGTGTGAGGAATAAATCATTTTGTTTTATTGTAAATCATTAATTACTTTGTTGGCAGCATGCTGGGAAAATATGCAGAGTGGTTGGACGCGGGCGACGCGGTGCGCGCGCGGCAGACCGACGCCGACGTGTCCCGCCTGCTGCCGGAGCGTGTGAGTTCACGTTAGGACCTGAATAAATACAAATGAGTAGGTCATCTTCATAGAAACGCACCGGGCGCAGTTTGTATGCGAGCGCGCCAATACGTATTTGGCGCGCACGCACACACTGACACAATTCGGCGCAACACCCCGCTAATCTGCGCTAAATTTTGTCAGTGTGTGCGTGCGCGCCGCATACGCTCACATACAAACCGCGCTCGGAGCGTTTCTATGAAGATGACCTACTCATTTGTATTTACTCTGGTAACACGTTAGGAATGATTTTGGTGAAACTTATCGCCCGTATTCACAAACGATGCTTGCTTAAGTGAAGCAAATAGAACGCACAGCGTTAAATAGAGCTCTGTGATGATTGGTTCGTGTGCCACCCTGTGCGTTCACGCGCACTGTGAGACCTCATAGTAATGTTTGTGAACACGGGCGTATCAGTATTTGTAGGGAAAATATAAAGAAAACGAAGAAAGAAAGTTGGTAGGTTATTTTATTGCTCATACGCAGGAGTCGAATGTGAATCGTAAAAAAGTGAAACAGCGCAAAGATTATTTTATCGACAGGACCACAATAGCGCCACCTATGCTTTGTTATGTGAACGCACTAGTTCAAGGCATAACGTAAATATTTTGGTTTACATACGTAGAGCATAATATGGAATCAACTTTTAAAAATAAAGTTATTTATTTGGTTAACAATAGTATTCGTCGGCCGTTTGGTGTAGTGGTTCAGAACGGACTACTATGCCGAGAGGTCCCGGGTTCGATTCCCGGCCGGGCAGATATTGAAATGATGAATTTTAATTTCTGTGACGGGTCTGGGTGTAAATTTGTATAATATGTATGTATTTAATAAAAAAAAATGTATATAAGTAGTATATCCGTTAAGCTAGCACCCATAACACAAGCATTAAGTTGCTTACTTTGGGGCTAGCTGGCGCTGTGTGAAATTGTCCAAAGATTTATTATTTATTATTATTATTCATGTCCCTTAACCGATTGAGTCCCAGACGGCATTAATTAATGTCATAACAATTGATTATTATCTATTGTCTAGATTCGCGGACCTTGAAGGATTAATATAAAACGATCTGTGACAAACTAAATTTCACGCGGGCAAGGCGCGAGCTATTCATCATCATCATCAGTCCTTTACAGTCCACTGCTGGACTATGAGCCTCCTACACTATAGTGGAGGTTTTTGCCATAATCCCGTTTGGAGATCGCATTTTAAACGATTGATGTTTGTCTGAGAGCGCTGCTGCCCGTTCTCTGTGTAGTCCCTAAGTGGCCTCTTACGACACCCGCGGGAAGAGTAGGGGTTGGTGACAAATGTATTCTACTCTGCCGTCACCACACGGCTGCGAGCTATTCAACAACCGAATAAACGAATGTTATTTAGACAATGCCGGAAATTGGCGTCTTTTTTTTTCGCGCGGCCATCGACCAAACTTTGTTTTTTTAATAAAAAATAGTGTAATAAACCAAACTTACTATGACATGTATACCTCTAAACACAGTCTGAACTGAGTTACGAGCATTAGAAGTTAGATGATTTTCATACTAGATTTGCTTTTTGCGCGCAAAGTTTTGTAAGAAATTGCAACAAAATAGTGAGATTGTATGTGTAAACAAACAATATCATCCATTAAAGGCTCCAGACATCAGTATGGAGCAGAATCAGCGCAATAAAAAAATAGCGCAATATTTTGTTGCAATTTCTTACAAAACTTGCGCACAAAAAGCAAATCTTGTATGAAAATCATCAAACTTCTAATGCTCGTAACTCAGTTCAGACTGAGTTTAGAGGTATACATGCCATAGTAAGTTTGGTTTATTTTGTAATCAAAAAACAAAGTTTGATCGATGGCCGCGCGAAAAAAAAAGACGCCACTTTCCATACAAAATCTGGCATTGCCATTTGAAACAGTTGCAAGAAGCGGTGTGGGAGGTGTCACGCAGCCGCGCGACCACGCCCCCCGCGGAGCGGGAGCCCCTCCCCCTGCCGCCGCCCGCGCCGGAAGCCCCGCCCCCCGCGCCCGCCACGCCCTACGACACAGTCGTCCGAGTGCTCATGGACATAAAGAACACGAAGCCCAAGAGGTAAGTAGTTTACACAGGCCACAAACGGAAAGGGTTAATTTAATATTACTGCTCAAATAAAATCTCTAACGTATACGTACAGTGGGCCACAGCTCCTGATACCTGTCATGTCGTCTCGTTCTATCTCAAGGTATATTCCTTCTAAAGTAATTCTATTTGAAATGGATGGTGAAATGTGGCTCACTGTACGTATTTTCCCGTACTATCCGCTCGCTTTAAGTTTGCCGCAGGCGATATGACGTCAATCGAAGGGAAGTGTCTATAACTATAACAAACTATATTTAAATTATATAAATATATATATAAGATATAAATTGTGTATTTGCGTAAAATAAGACACATTAATTGCGTTTATCACTAACTAATATCGTTTAATTGGGGGAGGGGATGCGCATTCCACGGACCGGCAAACTTAGCGCGAACAGGTAGTATAAACTCATTCAGCATGAGCAATCCATGCAGTAGAATCGGCAGTCGGCATTGTTTGATTTATGTGTTAGCTAAGTTTAAATATAATCTTCTGACACTGTGCACCTCTGACACTTTAATGCTTTCATTGTACCTATTATTATAAAATAAAAGTAGATCAACTTAACTGGAAACGTGTGTGTCTCTTTATACGAATCCCTTATTCACTTCATATTATTCTTCCACAGGTCTCGACGGCCGGCCGTCAAGTCGCCTGTGGACAAGGTGGACTTCAAAGACATTCGCTCCCTTCTGAGTCTCGTTGAATCTCACTGCCAAGATCTGCAAAAGTTGGCGAAGTAAGTACCGATACTGTTTTAGGGTTTATTTACCTGTAAGTCTGAATTACACCACCTTAACTTTAACGGTAACTAACGGCAAAAGTCTGTCAAACTTCATACTAAAACACCGGTTAAAGTTACGGTTATTGTTTAGGTGGTGCAACTCAGCTTAAGGTGGACGCTGCGAGAGCGATTCGGAAAAAACATGAGACTCGACATACAACAATCTCGTTCAACTATAGTCTGGTCCGGGAGCACGTAGAATTTTGTCCAATGACCCCAAGCTACCCATCCTTGTCGCTCGCGCGTAATTATGTTGCTGTCACGCTCGCACACTCACTGCGGGCGCCCGTCCCATAGTCGCGACAGCAATTTAATTACGCGCGAGCGATAAGGATGGGTAGCTTGGGGTCATTGGACAAAATTATACGTGCTCCCGGACCAGACTATAGTTATCGATTCGTGTGAATCGTCTAACATTTTCGAATTCCAGATTTAATTTTAGAGTAGCAATGAATTTATCGATATCAACTGGTTGTTTCCTACATCTATGTTCTTACAGGGAATCGAATGCAGAGGTGTCAACGTTGGCAAACCTTAACATAGTGCTGTGGAAGCTTGTGCAGGAACAACGCGTGGCCAAACCCTTGCCCTTTATGCGCAAGTATTGCTCTCAGCGCTGCGCTCAGGTCACGTATGCGCCATCGGTACGTATTATACTTTTTTATCGATATTGAGAAGCTTTTAGCTTGCATTTCAGGTGATGTTTGTAATGTATTTTCAATCCTACTTCCTACTAATATTATAAATGCGAAAGTTTGGATGTCTGGATGTCTGGATGTTTGTTACTCTTTCACGCAAAAACTGCTGAACGGATTTTGTTGAAACTACAGTATTATTGTTTATAACCCAGATTAACATATAGGCTATAATTTATGACGATATGTGACCAACTAAATTTCAATAAATAAATAAGACGCTGGTAAAAAGCGCCATCTATCAGTTAAAATCTTCTCGCGCTGGACCAAAAAATTTTGACGTTCGTAAATTATTCATGCGGGGAAGCCGTGAAACGCCATCTATCAACATAATTAGTGATTAAACGAGGTCCACGCGTACGAAGTCGCGGGCGGACGCTAGTATAACCTAATTGGTATAACATAATACAGTGTATTTATTATTGTACAGGGCCACGAATGGTGCATAGCAGTGGGCGCGGTACAGGGCATAAAAGAAAACAGGTAAGTACGCTACTCATTGAGGGCTATCGTTTTTATACTTAACAGTTGGCACCCCTGGCGATTGACAGGACCTTACTCTACAGTGGCGCCATCTTGATGAGTGCAAATGCGATAGTCTTCCTACCACTTTAGCGCTCACCAGTTGGCGCCACTGTCTTCGCGACTAGCAAGTGACAGGACCTTACTCTACAGTGGCGCTAACTGGTGAGCGCTAAAACGATAGCCCTCATTGAATCGCTATACAATTTTAAACCGAACCACGAATCCTTTTAAGATACCTAACAAAAAATTCAAACAGTGTCAACTCACTTTAATTTACTTTTACACCATTAGTTTAAAAAAAGTGTTATCCTTATGCCCATTTTCACTATCAATCCCTAAGTTATGAGTGTTACCGTAGGGGTCACTTAAAAATTAGGGATTGATGGTGAAAACGGGCATTAGTGTTCTTATACACGAGCGGCTAAAAGTCGACGGCAGTGGCAACCGCAGCTCTCGCCACCTTTTGGCGGCTGTTTCTTTGTACAGGATGCGACAAGCTACAACTGCAGCTAACGACATCTGTCGGCGGCAGTCGTCGACGAGGCGACAGCTGCCGTTGCCACTGCCGTCGGCTATGAGTCGCTTGTGTATAAGAAGCCTTACTCGTCAGTTTAGGTTTAAAGACTTTATTCTCATAAGAACATTATACATAGTTCACTTACTATGAGATAGTTATTATTTTACATTTGAGCGCAGCACAGCATCAAGAAAGTAAATAAAACATAAACAAAACAAAAACAAAGCGAGCCTCAAAGTCATATTTGAGTCAAGTGTTAGTAAAAAGTATTTTTTTCTTACAAAATGAAAGGAAAAATGTAATTTTCGTATTTGCAGGGCCAAGGCGATGGCGTGCACGCGGCGGCTGGCGCGCCCGCGACCGCACGCGGCTCGCACAGCGGCCGCACTGTTCACTATCGTCAGGTAGGTACCGCTTCGCGCTCCTGCACACGACGCCGCAACCGCGCCGCCGCCGCGCCGTCGCCGCGCCTTTGCACTGTTTATACGCGCCGCGTAAACACCGCTGCCGCGCCGCGGGCGAAATTATGCTTAGATGGCGCGGTGGCGGCGCGGCGGCGGTTTTACTCGGTGCGTATGAACAGTGTAGCGGCGTCGTGTGCAGGAGCGCTTCATCTCCTGGTGAACAATAGACATGTTGACACCACCACTCAATTGACGTACTTTTTAAAACTGTCAAAACGAAACTCTCCCATAGATTTTGTATGGCATTACAAGCAATTGACGTCACTATTTTATCAACTCAATCAAACTCCTTTTTTCAATTACAATGCGAACAAAAATCGTAATTTACAGGTAATTTAAGATGAATTACATTTGTCACCAACCCCTACTCTTCCCGCGGGTGTCGTAAGAGGCGACTTAGGGACTACACTACATTATTACACTACATTAAGTCCGCCACAGTGCATTTGTTACTTTGTGTGCTGAAGTATAAATAAATAAATAAATAAATACACATCACATCAAACAGAGAACGGGTAGCAGCGCTCTCTGACAAACATCAATCTTTTAAACTGCGATCTCCTACCCGCCTGCCAAGCGTGGGGATTATGGCTAAACCCTCCACTATAGTGGAGGAGGCTCATAGTCCAGTAGTGGACTGTAAAGGGCTGTTGATGATGATGAAGATGAATTAAGTTTTTAAGACCAGAATGTAGGGTCTTTTTAAAACAGTTGTGGTTCCGAATTATTGGGGTATGGTGTCAAAATGTCTATTGAACGCAAGATGACATATTGTGGGCGCTGGGCGCCTGCAGGAGGAACATTTTAAATAACCTAGCTAATAAATCAGTTTTGAATGCCTTTAATTTGGTAGTCATATGATGAGTTTGCCGTGTGGTGACGGCAGAGTAGAATACATTTGTCACCAACCCCTACTCTTCCCGCGGGTGTCGTAAGAGGCGACTTAGGGACTACACATCAAACAGAGAACGGGCAGCAGCGCTCTCTGACAAACATAAATCTTTTAAACTGCGATCTCCAACCCGCCTGCCAAGCGTGGGGATTATGGCAAAACCCTCCACTGTAGTGGAGGAGGCTCATAGTCCAGTAGTGGACTGTAAAGGGCTGTTGATGATGATGATGATGAGTTTGCGCCCCCACCAGACGCATACCAAACCGTGAGGCGGCGGGCCGCGTGGCGGAGCTGGCGCTGCAGGCGGCGGCGCGCGCGGGGGGCGCCGCGGCCGTCACGCTCACCGCCTTCGTCGAGCAGCTCGCCGAGGTAAAACATATTTTTTAAAATAATATACACAAGACATGATGATCGCTAGTTTGAGAAAAGATAGGTTCCTCATACATACAGGGTGTCCCAAAAACAATGGATAACCCTGTAACCATCGATAGGCCTCGCCATGGTCTCCCTAACGTTCAATTTTGACCCCAGTAAAAANCCTGTCTCGGGTGAGTCACTAGTGATGCACAGCGCCGCGCGGGCCTCATCGGGCCGCTGGTGGCCCCCCCGCGCGTGGACCCCGCGCACATCCCTACGCTGCACAGCGCCCTGCTGCGCGGCCCGCTGCCGCCGTCCGCACTGTTCAGCTACCTGTCTCNAAGTTTGATCGATGTCCGCGCGAAAAAAAAATGACGCCACTTTCCATACAAAAGCTGGCATTGCCATTTGAAACAGTTGCAAGAAGCGGTGTGGGAGGTGTCACGCAGCCGCGCGACCACGCCCCCCGCGGAGCGGGAGCCCCTCCCCCTGCCGCCTCCCGCGCCGGAAGCCCCGCCCCCCGCGCAAGCCACGCCCTACGACACAGTCGTCCGAGTGCTCATGGATATAAAAAACACTAAGCCCAAGAGGTAGGTAGTTTACACAGGCCACAAACGGGTTAATATTTCACATTACGATTGGATCGGATCCAATACCATCATCTGATACCGATGGTATTTGTTTTTATACTTTTTTATTTTCTATTCCGATCGGATACCACTCTTTAAATTAATTTTAATGTACGATCTATTCCGAATTAATACCAAAATATTAATCTTGGTGCAGTCAGCTAGAAAAATAAAAACACTTACTATATTTTAATATTAAAAGGTGATTGCCTCTTATATTTTATTGTGAAACAAAACATTATACTTACTAGATTTTAATATCCGCTATGCAATGGAGGGAAGACGAACCTTAATTTCTAACTCCTCCTATGTTCATCTGATTAATTTCGTTGCGGGTCCAATGACAGTTTAACTTTCCCCCGGGACAAACTTGACCTTCATTGGTTGGGTTTTTGTGGGGGTCAAGCTGTAGATCCTGGCTACACAGGAGTTGCAGTGGTGGGAACGAGAGGTGGGAATAGTCACGTAATTACTAGATTTAAATATTATGTCAAGTTGATTGCCTGTGATATTTTATTTTTTAATTAAACATATACTTACTATATTTAAGTTTGTTTGGTTAAACTGATTTTGTTAAATAAACACAACTTATTTTCACAACTAAAAGATTTTTTTTTATTGACTGTACCTTATACCTATAAAATAAACTTGTTTTGGTATGCGTTTAAAAAGTGGTATTCGTGCGGAATAGAAAATAATAAAGATTTAAAACAAATACCATTGTTATAAGATGTTGGTATTAAATCGAAATAGATCAATATTACGATCAATAGTACTGCTCAAATTAAATCTAACGTATACTTACAGTGGGCCACAGATCCAGCAACCTATATCCGGTCATGCCTCTCGTTATATCTAAAAAACTATTTGAAATGGATGGTGAAATGTGGCCCACTGTACGTATTTTCCCGTATAAACTCATTTAGCACGAGCAATCCATGCAGTAGAATCGGCTTTCGGCACTGTTTGTTTTATGTGTTAGCTAAGTTTACCTGACACTGTACCTGGCATTTTAATGCTTTCATTGTACCTATCTACACTAATATTATAAAGAGGAAAACTTTGTTTGTTTGTTTAGTTGTAATGAATAGGCTCAAAATCTACTGGACCGTTTTTAAAAAATCTTTCACCATTCAAAAGCTACATTATCCACGAGTAACATCTAGGCTAAATTTTATTTTGGAAAAAAATAGGGTTCCGTAAAATATGTAGATAATGTAGTCCACGCGCGCGAAGCCGCGGCCGGAAAGCTAGTTTGTTATAAAATAAAAGTAGATTCTCATATTATTTCCCTTCCACAGGTCTCGACTGCCGGCCGTCAAGTCGCCTGTGGACAAGGTGGACTTCAAAGACATTCGCTCCCTTCTGAGTCTCGTTGAATCTCACTGCCAAGATCTGCAAAAGTTGGCGAAGTAAGTACCGATACTGTTTTAGGGTTTATTTAACTGTAAGTCTGAGTTACACCACCTTAACTTTAACCGTAAGAAACGGCAAGTCTGTCAAAATTCATACCAAAACACCGGTTAAAGTTATAGTTACGATTAATGTTTAGGTGGTGCAACTCAGCCTAAGTTGGACGCTGCGAGAGCCATTCGGAAAAAACATGAGACTGACATACAACAATCTCGTTTGACTAGATCGATTCGTGTGAATCGTCTAAACATTTTCGAATTCCAGATTTAATTTTAGAGTAGCAATTTTATCGATAGCAACTGGTTGTTTCCTTCATCTATTTTTTAACCGCCTCTGTGGTCTAGTGGTAAGACCACCTGCTTCAGACGCAGAGGTCCCGGGTTAGATTCCCAGTCGGGGCAGATTTTCCTGTTCGGTTTGGTTGGTGGTAGGGCTTGTTCTAAGTCCGCCTGGCTAGCTACCACCATCTTACCTAAGTCTGTCGCCATAACAACAATGTTAACAGCATTATTGTGTTCCGGCAGTTAGAGGTAAGATAGCCAGTTCCTCCGTGGTTGAGGATTCCGGGCGAAGCTCGCTTTCACCTTCGGCCTAATCATCACTTACCATCAGGTGAGATACAGGCCAAGAGCTTCCTCGTTGTAGATAAAAAAAAAATATATATGTTCTTACAGGGAATCGAATGCAGAGGTGTCAACGTTGGCAAACCTTAACATAGTGCTGTGGAAGCTTGTGCAGGAACAACGCGTGGCCAAACCCTTGCCCGTTATGCGCAAGTATTGCTCTCAGCGCTGCGCTCAGGTCACGTATGCGCCATCGGTACGTATTATACTTTTTTCTACACTAATATTATAAAGAGGAAAACTTTGTTTGTTTGTTTGTTATGAATATGAATATGAATCAAAAACTACTGGATCGTTTTTAAAAATTCTTTCACCATTCGAAAGCTACATTATCCACGAGTACCATAGGCAAAATTTTATTTTGGAGAAAAATAGGGTTCCGTAAAATATGTAGATAATGTAGTCCACGCGCGCGAAGCCGCGGGCGGAAAGCTAGTTATCGGTAAGGGGAAGCTTTTAGCTTGCATTTCAGGTGATTTTTGTAATGTATTTTCATTATAACCTGATTGGTAAGTACATAATACAGTGTATTTATTATTGTACAGGGCCACGAGTGGTGCATAGCAGTGGGCGCGGTACAGGGTATAAAAGAAAACAGGTAAGTACGGAATACAATCGCTATACAATCCTTTTAAGATACCTAACAAAAAATGCAAACAGTGTCAACTCAGTTTGATTTATTTTTAAACTTTTACACAATTAAAGTCCGGTCGCTGAGCACGTAGAATTTCGTCCAATGACCCCAATCTACCCATCCTTATCCCTCGCGCGTAATTATATTGCCGTCGCGACTGTGCGACGGGCGCCCGCAGTGAGTGTGCGAGCGCTGCCATTGCCACTGCCGTCGGCTATGAGTCGCTCGTGTATAAGAAGCCTTACTCGTCAATTTAGGTTTAAAGATTTTATTCTCATAAGAACTTTCATACATACATACTTACATAGTTCACTTACAATGAGATAATTATTATTTTACATTATTTAATTTCACATTAGCACAGCATTAAGAAAGTAAATAAAACGTTAACAAAACAAAAACAAAGCGAGCCTCAAAGTCAGATTTGAGTCAAGTGTTAGTAAAAAATATTTTTTTCTTACAAAATGAAAGGAAAAATGTAATTTTCGTATTTGCAGGGCCAAGGCGATGGCGTGCACGCGGCGGCTGGCGCGCCCGCGACCGCACGCCGCGCGAACAGCGGCCGCACTGTTCACTATCGTCAGGTATGTGCAGGCCTGGCTCACTCCGCGCGGTACATCCGATAATTACCTACAGCGAAGCGCCCCGCCGGCGGGTATTATATCAGTCGAGTGTCACGCGCGCGCCCGTCAGGACGCTGGCGTGCGTTGTAGTATGATTATAATTCTATGATCGAAGTATTATTTAAAAATGGACATAAAGAGAAAGAAATATTGTGCAGCGTTCGGGTGTTTAAATTCGAAAAGAAATCTACCGGATTTATCTTTTTTTTTCGCTTCCCAAAGATGCTGAGCTGACCAAAAGACTGAAAGGTATGTTGGCCATGTAGGTAATCAATAATTCTTAGGATAATATAGGAACCTTACCTACCATGACTACTGTTCAGAATTCGTTCGTCCGTTTCAGCCAAATGACGTCCACTGCTGGATAAAGGCCTCTCCCAAGGTTTTCCATAATGAATGCATACTTACCTACATACGTACCTCATTACAAATAAGTAGATTAATTATTTTTTCACTAGACAGCAACCCTAACAGCGTAAGAAGAGTTCAGAGGCACGCGATAGAAAGAGATAAAACTTGTAGGTGAATAAAATTGTAGGTACGTAGTGCTGTGCGAGCTGAATTCCACTGTATCGCGTCGTAGCAAGACTCGCATTTATTTAAATCGTCTTGCGGAGTAATCCTTCTGTACCTGTACTATTACTTATTCTGTGGTATGTGTCCCTTGTATGTGTCTCCAGTACGGCTAGCACGAAAAACTTTCGAGTTCAAATCGTTTGCGTACTCGAATCGCCATCAAAAGATTTAGTATGAAAACTACAACAGCGCCCTTATGACGTGTCGTAAAGTGAACTTAGTATGAGATGTGGTTGCACGAAACTTATTTTGAGAATCAAAATTGTCACGTTATCGTTTAATTCTAAGATTGATTGTTGTTGACGAAAGTTGTTCATGCTAGAGGTACTGGTGAACAATTAAACGCAACATGACAATAGTTCATCATACATCTTCAATGTACTCGAAATTATCTTTAATGTACTCAAAATTGTTCGGCGTAGGGCGCCTGCAGAAGAAACATTTTACTCATTTTTTCAAACATTGCCTAACTATTGGATCAGTTTTAAATGCATTTGATTTGGGCGGCCGTTTGGTGTAGTGGTTCGAAACGGACTACTATTCTGGAGGTAGCGGGTTCGATTCCCTTACAGTACAAACATTTGTGTGCATGAACATAATTATTTGTTTGTATTGGACTGGGTGTATTCTATGTATATTAAGTATGTATTTACAAAAAAAAAGTATTTAAGTATATTTATATCCGTTGTCTAGTACCCAAAGTACAAGCTTTGCTTAGTTTGGGACTAGAAGCGCAGTGTAAAATGTCCAAGGACATTTATTTATTTATATTATTAAGTAGTCATAAAAAAGTTAAGCTGAGTTGCACCGTCTTACTTTAACTTTGACAAACGTCAAAAATCTGTCAAACTCCATACAAAAAGCATCGTTTATCATTAAAGTTACGGTCAAAGTTAGGTGGTGCAACTCAGCCTTCTTCTTCTTATCGTGTCGACAACAAACCTACACAGTGTCAGCCCAAAACTCCGCTACAAGAATGGCGTTGTCAGCAGCATTCATTAAATCCACCCACGTGCAGTTGCTCGGGCACTCAGGGCACTACATCATGTGCTTTATCGACTGGGGAACAAAACCGCACCTGCACTCAGCCTTAAGCCTTGATCACACGAACCGAGTAAACAGGCGAGACAATAAAATGTTTACTCGGTCGAGTCAGTGATGTAAGCGAGTAGCTGTTCACATGTGTTTTGAAATTAGTACAGTCAGTTCAGTTCTATTGAGACTTTTCTTTTTCTCTAATCTGTGGACGTGACGTCAATCATTTGGCCGAGTGGCGAGACAGTGCATGTTCAGACCTGCCGAGCGAGCGAGCGAGACAGTGCGGGGCAGCGGGAGGGTGGTGGACACTCGGCCTAGTAAGTAGAACGGGAGTCGAGTTACTGTCTCGCCGCTTTGCTCGGCCGAGTACTCGGCCGATCACTCGGTGCTATGTTCATACGCACCGAGTACTCGGCCGAGAGCACTGTCTCGCCCGATTACTCGTTACGTGTGATCAAGGCTTGAGTGTGAGCGCGTTTAAAACTTGTATGAAAATTTTAGTTTTTGAACGTTTCCCGCTAGGGGCACTGTACAATCCGTTATACATTTAATGTCATTTTTTGACGCGTTTGATAAAAACTCACACTAGGCCCTCAAGGCTCTTAGTAACGAGTTTCCTCCTTAACCAGGCGCATACCAAGCCGCGAGGCGGCGGGCCGCGTGGCGGAGCTGGCGCTGCAGGCGGCGGCGCGCGCGGGGGGCGCCGCGGCCGTCACGCTCGCCGCCTTCGTCGAGCAGCTCGCCGAGGTAAACAATATTTTTAAAATAATATACACATGATGATCGATAGTTTGAGAAAAGATAGGTTCCTCATACATATGTTACGGCTAAAGATAAGTGTGAACATAAACTTAAGATTAGCCGGCTAAACTTAAGTTTATCTTCGACGAGGTGTTAATGTTAGTTTCTTGTATCTTTAGCCGGCTAAACTTAAGTGTAACCGCAGGCCCTTGGCTAAAAATGTAGAAGGAAATGGAAAAGAAACAATGTAATAATGTTTACTATTTTGACACGAAAACTTTTTTAAAAAATAGTCACTATCATTACACATACTTTAGTTTTATGTACCTATGTAGGTATTCAAAATTACAATTATTACAATAACAAAATATTAATTACTTAAAACAATATCTAGGTACCTAATCATTAAAATAAAACAATAAGGAACCATTTGGTCATTACAGAATCTTCTGTAGGTAGGTATTTAAAATTACAAAATAAAACAAAATAAAACTTCTTCAGTTTTAATTACTACTTAAAACAATACCTAGTCACAATTGTTAAATAATATGAAGCTATTCGTTGTCTCCCCACCGCCCCCTCAAGCCCTCCGCAGGCCTGGCGCGCCCATCGAATACATTTTTAGCCGTTTCGTTTTGGCTAATGTGCACATTAGCCGGCTAAAGATCGAATATCACGACGCAAACTAACATGTTATCGAACTTTAGCTGCTTCTCGAAGATAAACTTAAGTTTAGCCGGCGAATCTTAAGTTTATGTTCACACTTATCTTTAGCCGTAACACATACATGTACTCCTTTTATTTCTTCAATCCCACAGCGCTGGTTATCCTCCGACGGCGTCCTCTGCTCGTACCTGATCAGGCGTTCGTACAACAACAGCGCTGCGCAGACGCTCATCGGGCCGCTGGTGGCCCCCCCGCGCGTGGACCCCGCGCACATCCCTACGCTGCACAGCGCCCTGCTGCGCGGCCCGCTGCCGCCGTCCGCACTGTTCAGCTACCTGTCTCGGGTGAGTCAGCAGTGGTGCACAGCGCCGCGCGGGCCTCATCGGGCCGCTGGTGGCCCCCCCGCGCGTGGACCCCGAAAATGGACCCCCGAAAAAGATTGGCAATGTCTATGGTGGTTCCAACTAGTGTGCGATAATAATTAAATTTATCATTATACACAGTTTTAAAGCCTTTGCCTCTGGCCGATATGCCACCCTAATTTAAACCTTATTCGTTTATTCATCATCATCATTTTAGCCATAGGACGTCCACTGCTGAACATAGGCCTCCCCTAGGTTGATCAATTGGTAGCGGCCTGCATCCAGCGCTTCCGTGCTACCTTTACGATGTCGTCGGTCCACCTTGTAGGTGGACGTCTCACGCTGCGTTTTCCGGTACGCGGTCTCCATTCCAGAACCTTGCTGCCCCATCGGCCGTCAGTTCTGCGTACTGTGTGCCCTGCCCATCGCCACTTCAGCTTGCTAATCCGTCGGGCTATGTCAGCGACTTTAGTTTGTTTACGGATTTCCTAATTTCTGATTCGATCTTGCAAAGAAAAACCGTGTTCGTTTATTATAACGGTGAATATGTTTGCGCCGCAGTTCGACATGAGCCGATGGGCGGACACCGCGACGCCGGCGCAGCGTAGCGAAGTACTCAATGAGCTGACGGAAGCGGCGCAGCGCTGGGCCGCGAGAGACGAGCCCGACTACCAGGTGTTGCTCGAGGTAAGGCCAGGCCTGTTCAACTCCGCGAGTTTACATCGAAAACAAAACACACACGATGGCCCCCTACAGGATTACTATTCGACAAGGCCTCACATACGAGCGAACATTGACTCACGCACGCGTATTCTTGTGTATGATGGAAAAAAATAAAGAAAATGGTGTACTAAATACTGTGCAGTATTTAACTGCCTAAATAATAACAAAAACACAGAATGTACTTTTTTAAGTTGCCTGAAGACACTGAGAGGTAAATAAGTAGTTAATATTATTCATGATAATTCATGCTAAATTATGTGTTTCCTCCGCCATTTTCTGCAGTTTGGCACCTCACGTCACATCATTTTACCGAAGTCAGCCCTATAGCTTCGGCGCAGTACCGATCACTGACATTTGTCAACAAAATGGTGCTTAACTCTTGAGACAAGCTAAATTACACCATATTGTTAATGACATTGGGCATACATTTTTTTAAATACCTTCGCGAAGTAAAACTTCTGTACGTAGTACTTATTATTATTCTGTGGTAAGGCTTCATTAAAAAAAGAAAGAAAGAAAACTTTTTCAATGGCACTTATTGACTGAAAGAACTTTTTAGGAGTTTTTCTCTGAATTGTACCTATAAGTTACCTGTTTAAGAGTTTTGCTTAGTTATGTATGGTTATTTCAAGTAATGTGATTGCGGTGTGCTCTCTATGTTATCGCAATCAATGCAGCCAAGAAATGGTAAAGTTTTTTAAGTCTAGCAGCGCAGCAACTCGCTTTTTCAAAACGCACGTGGACGATATAAATGTGCATGGATGTTAAGCGGCGTTAATATCGTACCTCGATCCTATAGATCACAAATTTTTGGTCGAGGGAAGTGCGGGGTGCGGGGAGTTTGATCCGAGCAATCCGATCGTCATTATTGTAGTGTGCGTGTGCACTCATGGTTAAATTAACGTGTACCGATAACACTCAAACATTAGGGGAAGAATGGTGAGGCGCGTCTTCGTGGACGAAACGATCTATAAACGGTGTCAACATCGTATCAAAGTTCTGTTCTGTGGCTGCAGTTGGTCGGCATGCAGTCGGCTGCAGCCTGCCGGGGCTCCGAGCTGGCCGCTCTCGCCAGCGGGTGCTGCCGCGCCGCCGCCGCCTGGCTGCCGCCCGCGCAGCTGTCGCACGTGGCGCGCGCGGCGCTGCTGCGGGCGCCGGGCCTGCCGTGCGACCAGGTGAGGCGCCGGTAGTGTAGCGGCAGTCGCTGCAGCCTGCCGGGCTCCGAGCTGGCCGCTCTCGCCAGCGGGTGCTGCCGCGCCGCCGCCGCCTGGCTGCCGCCCGCGCAGCTGTCGCACGTGGCGCGCGCGGCGCTGCTGCGGGCGCCGGGCCTGCCGTGCGACCAGGTGAGGCGCCGGTAGTGTAGCGGCAGTCGCTGCAGCCTGCCGGGCTCCGAGCTGGCCGCTCTCGCCAGCGGGTGCTGCCGCGCCGCCGCCGCCTGGCTGCCGCCCGCGCAGCTGTCGCACGTGGCGCGCGCGGCGCTGCTGCGGGCGCCGGGCCTGCCGTGCGACCAGGTGAGGCGCCGGTAGTGTAGCGGCAGTCGCTGCAGCCTGCCGGGCTCCGAGCTGGCCGCTCTCGCCAGCGGGTGCTGCCGCGCCGCCGCCGCCTGGCTGCCGCCCGCGCAGCTGTCGCACGTGGCGCGCGCGGCGCTGCTGCGGGCGCCGGGCCTGCCGTGCGACCAGGTGAGGCGCCGGTAGTGTAGCGGCAGTCGCTGCAGCCTGCCGGGCTCCGAGCTGGCCGCTCTCGCCAGCGGGTGCTGCCGCGCCGCCGCCGCCTGGCTGCCGCCCGCGCAGCTGTCGCACGTGGCGCGCGCGGCGCTGCTGCGGGCGCCGGGCCTGCCGTGCGACCAGGTGAGGCGCCGGTAGTGTAGCGGCAGTCGCTGCAGCCTGCGGGCCTCCGAGCTGGCCGCTCTCGCCAGCGGGTGCTGCCGCGCCGCCGCCGCCTGGCTGCCGCCCGCGCAGCTGTCGCACGTGGCGCGCGCGGCGCTGCTGCGGGCGCCGGGCCTGCCGTGCGACCAGGTGAGGCGCCGGTAGTGTAGCGGCAGTCGCTGCAGCCTGCCGGGCTCCGAGCTGGCCGCTCTCGCCAGCGGGTGCTGCCGCGCCGCCGCCGCCTGGCTGCCGCCCGCGCAGCTGTCGCACGTGGCGCGCGCGGCGCTGCTGCGGGCGCCGGGCCTGCCGTGCGACCAGGTGAGGCGCCGGTAGTGTGGCGGTAGTCGGTGCAGCCAGCTGTGGACTCTACGTCATCTAAATTATACTCTTCTTCTTCTTTTTTGATTATGTTGGCAATACACGTCGAGGTCGACTTGATTTGTGCCATTTTCAAGTATTTATGTGATACGAGTTACAAAATGAGATCAAGTAATGATATAATGAAGGATGATAGATGATACCCCTTCCCACGCTTTGAGTCTCAGTAAAGTTGTGGTGCCTTACTGAGACCTCCTATGGACAACTTGAGAGAACCAGAAGAATCACGATGCACTGTTTTGCTTCACTTGCCCACACTCATGCACGTTCACGAACCCTTCATGGTTAATATCCACCATTATTACACATTAATAGTCGCCCAAACACGAATTTGAGGAAATAAAACAAAACCGCTAACATGACGCTTCAGATTCCCGCCAAGAAGTCTAAATTATACTCTTTAAACCTGCACAGACTTATGTGGTACCAGAGACCACATGAGCAGATTATGAGCTAAAAGTACACACTAGCACGAGGGTAAGGTTTAGATTTTAGAAATGTTATCATCATCAGCCTAATAGTAGTCCACAACAGCTACACATAGGCCTTCCTCAGTCTTCGGCTTGTCGCATCTAGTTTCTGTAAGCGATTTCTGTAATTTCATTTTCTATCTGGTGATGGCGCCTGCCAACTTGTGAAAGCAATTAGGCAGTTCGATATTTTCAAGTTATTTATTTAAAATTTAATATCACAAAGGGACCAGTATTCAGAAATTTTGATAGCAAATACGATAGCCCAAATTTTTCTTCAATCATCTCGTCACTTTGAGCCCATATTACAAGCTATCAACTAGCCTGTTCTATTGCTATCATCACTAGGCTTGTTCTTACTCGGACACTGAACGGATCGCTCCGAACTAGTACAATCGGTCAAATGAACTAGTTCGGTCTTCTAGTACTATTAGTTCATGTTAGTACACTGATTCTATTAGGTAGATCGAACGAAAAAAGACTTTATTCCTATGTATCTATGGTCCAATATCGAAAAATACTCGCAACACAGTTACAGAGCCGTACCCATCTCACTCGCGTTCACATGTCACTAATCTCACGTCTCATTCTAGCACTATTAGTTCATTTTAGTACACCAATTTTTTTAATCAGATCGGACGAAAAACGTCTTTATTACTATCACCTTATAGTACAATGTCGCAAAATACTCGCAACACACTGACAGAGCCGAATCCATCTCGCTCGCGCGTGTTTGACACCAATTTCACGTCTCCTTCACACCTATTCATTCGTGATCAGCTGCACTAAAGTAAACTAAAAGACCGATTTGAACGACCAAGACGGAATAGTTCGTTCTCGTTCACCTAAAGGAATTGCTTCCTATTAACATAGTACATGTACTACAGAAGCCTAATCATCACCACCTTCCAGCTAGGCCACCTGCTCCGCGAGCTCGGCGTCATCTGGTGGGAGGTGCGCAGCGGCCTTAAAGGCCCCGACGATAGACACGCAGCGTATGCGCCGCACGTGGCTCAGTTACTGTCAGTGCTTCACAGGGCGTTCGTCGCTGCTGCGGTGCAACTAAGCTACGCGCCTGAGAGAGGTGAGCTATTTGCTATTTTTTAGAAATAATTATTTTGTTTTGAATATAGTTATCGCCTGCCAAAAATACCAAATTATCTTACGAGTACACTGGAACAATTTTTCGAATTATGTTCGGCTCGGCCTGTCAGACTACACATTTGTCGCAAAATATAACTACCCCTCATTACAACTACATTGGATGTTGCAATTTGAATTTGATGTGCAGGCGTCTGTGCCACTTTACATGGCATTAGAGATTTAATAAATTAAATATTATTTCATCTTTTTTTTGCATTAAAATAACAATCTATTATAGTAGTATTTATCCGTGACAACGCGAGCGTGATCAAGCCTCCTAGAAGCGTGGTATAACATCTGTGAGTTTGTATCCAGTGGCAGCACTAGCGTGGTCTAGCCTGCTAGAAGCATGGTATAACATCTGAGTTTGTATCCAGTGGCAGCACTAGCGTGGTCAAGCCTCCTAGAAGCATGGTATAACATCTGAGTTTGTATCCAGTGGCAGCACTAGCGTGGTCAAGCCTCCTAGAAGCATGGTATAACATCTGAGTTTGTATCCAGTGGCAGCACTAGCGTGGTCAAGCCTCCTAGAAGCATGGTATAACATCTGAGTTTGTATCCAGTGGCAGCACTAGCGTGGTCAAGCCTCCTAGAAGCATGGTATAACATCTCTGTCATTCTCTGTATTTGTATCCAGTGGCAGCACTAGCGTGGTCTAGCCTCTTAGAGCAGCGGTTCCCAAACTTATTTAGTCTACTGCCCACTTTGAGAATAAATTATTTTTAGCGCCCCCCATTTTTGTAGTCAAGAGTCGAGCTCATTCGGTGTCTAAGAGTCCTCCTAGTAGATGACGCCTCCCAAGCCTCTACACAACGTCCCGATTGTTTTTTCTGGGTTTCTTACCGCCTCCCTTTAAGCCTGAAGCGCCCACAAGGAGGCGTTATCGCCCACTTTGGGAAAGACTGTCCTAGAGGCATGGTATAATGTCTGAGTTTGTATCCAGTGGCAGCACTAGCGTGGTCGAGCCTGCTAGAGGCGTGGTCGGCGTGGGTGGTGCCGCACGCTGCCACGCCGCTGCTGCCATCCACCGGCGAGCGGGAGCACTACACGTGCATGCTGCGGGCCTTCCACGAAGCCGCGCTGGAGGTCATGACTGACTGTCCTGGTAAGTAAAGCCTAAAGTCAAGTATCGGTTGCGGTATATCACATGGCATTAAGCTCGCCTGTTGTACCACTGTATTTTTATGTGTGCAACAAAGATTTTAAATAAATAAATATATCGTCTCCATAGACACGGTAATACTATCTACAGGGTGGAAACGATAAGTGATCTCACTCGATTATTTCTAAACTATACAAGATATCGAAAAACTGGTTACTGATCCTGAAAGTGCTTGACGAGCTCTTTCAAACAGTACCAATAATAGGTTACAGAATAAATGGGAACTCTCCGAAAATTCAATGTTTCCAGCTTCCATACCTTTAGTAAAGTTACATAATATTAAAAACTACACAAGATATCGCAAAACTAGTTACTGATCCTAAAAGTGCTCCACGAGTTCTATCCAACGGTATCAACAATAGCTTACAGAATAAATTGGATATATCCAAAAATTCAATGTTTTCATCTTCCATACATTTAGTACTATCACAGTCATGGCACTCATCTCTTGATAATATGATAGCAAGTAAAGCCTAAAACTTATGTTTTCCACAAATAATTTTAAATAAGATGCAAGTTACGAGTTTATGTAACCGACTTTTTAAGTTTATTATTTAACAAAAAATAAATTACACTTTGTATGAGTCCTTGTTAACTCATACATTTATCTTGATAGTGAACAGGAAAACACTTGATGAAGCTTGATAGGTTTATTATTGATGTGTGCACACAGTGACAATTGAACGTGAACTAAACTAAAAATAATTAGCAATTAACATATAAGCAAGCGCCTACTTAATCTAAAGCGTTGACGCTGCAATGTTCGATGTAATCGTACACACTTCTAATATTGTGTGGTTGGCATACATTTAGTATGGAAGCTGGAAACAGAATTTTCGGATAGTTCCCGTTTATTCTGTAACCTATTATTGGTACCGTTTGAAAGAGCTCGTGAAGCACTTTCAGGATCAGTAACCAGTTTTTCAATATCTTGTATAGTTTAGAAATAATCGAGTGAGATCACTTATCGTTTCCACCCTGTATACAGTATTCCAACTCGGCCATATTTTTGAAATAAATGTCAACAGCCGCGCGGTACGTCACGGTATGACAACATGCGATAGGACTGCCCACCTACAGTACCCATTTTAATTATATCTGCCTACTTAGAATTTCTATCTAGTTTTGTGATTGTAATTTTTATTTATTTAGACAAACAAAATACTTTGTGAATGGAATAGGATAAAAATGCGTGTTCTTTTGCAATTAGTAGATTTAATAAAAAAAAACTACTAAAATATTTTTATTTTTCAACTGACGGCCGATGGGGCAGCAAGGTTCTGGAATGGAGGCCGCGTACCGGGAAACGCAGCGTGGGACGTCCGCCCACAAGGTGGACCGACGACATCGTAAAGGTAGCAGGGTCGCGCTGGACGCAGGCCGCTACCAATCGATCGACATGGAAAGCATTGGGGGAGGCCTATGTTCAGCAGTGGACGTCTGATGAAATGATGATGATTTGAAAGAAAGAAAGAAAGAAAGAAAGAAATGTGAAATGTGTGATGATGAATGGTGAAATGATGATGATTTGTTTTGCACAGGCACAGAAGAGCACCTCCTCTCCCAGATATTCGAGTGGGCGGTGCAGACGTGCGCGAGCGTGCACAGCGCGCCCAACCAAGAAAGCCGCGTGCAGGCGTCCGCTCTGCTGGCGGAGCTGGCGCGCGGGCCTTGGCGGAGCCACCAGTGGCTGCGGGCCAGCAGTCTGCAGGCCTTGCTGCAGGTTAGAAAGAAACATTGCAATGCACATCACAAAAGACAAAATATGTATATAAAAAAAGCAAACAAGACAGAGGTAACACAAAAAACATGCAATGGAAGCATACAGTGCGCGTATACATTTTAAATGTACAGTATTTTTATATTTCCCTTCGTTTGTACAGATACAAGCTAAGGTCGGAGGCTATGCCAGAAGTTGATATTCTACTTCTCGCTAAGCGACAATAACGAACCGCCCGTCTTGCGATTATCGCCCGCCACGTTTGCGGTCGATGATCGGCGGCTGTGTAACCGCGCAAATAACCGGTCCTATGAGTTTTGAAATAAAACCGCAATTTCACAACCGCCGCGGGCGCAGGTGAAAATAGCGCCGTGAGTTCTTAGCCTAATCAATGGTCTAAAATGGTCGACCGCCAATCGATCGCAAAGCGTGCGGGCGCAAACCGCAGCCTCTGCGATTCTACTATAGTCTGGTCCGTGAGCACGTAGAATTTTGTCCAATGACCCCTAGCTACCCATCCTTATCGCTCGGATAGCTAGGGGTCATTGGTGAAAATTCTACGTGCTCACGGACCGGGCTTTAGTTAAGTTACCCGCCGGTGCAGCGGGACCCGCATACAACCGCGCACAATGTGGGCGCGAACCGCGTCGTGAGTTGTGCATTAGTTTTTACATAGTTGAGCTAGTGCACAGCACACTAATTTAATAATTTATTTATATTATAGAAAACAAACAGTACATATGCAACAAATAAATAGATGGGGCAGTTAAGATCAAGTATGCCTTAGTTTTCACAAATAGAAGATTAATACAATAGAAAATGAATAAAATATAGCATTCAGTATAACAGTAGGATGAATTATGAGAAAGATAATGTATTATTGTTAGGTGTGCCACCTGGGCGACCGAGAGCTTAACGACTGGTGCGCGGCGGCGTGCGACGGGCTTCAAGCGTATACGTGGGCAGCTGGAGAGGCCGAGCTGGGTGCTCGCCTGCCGCTGTTACTACACCTGTTCACTGCTGGCGTCTTCCAGAACGACCGGGTGAGTGCTGCTACTGTACTACCATGGGTGTTATTCCGAAGCGAGTTACGGACAGCAGCTTCCAGTATATTTTCAACTGCAACGCGACTGGACGACGAACGAAATTCAGCTATTTGCACATATTTGTATCGCGGTGTCGCTTTGACTTGACACCTAGGTCAAACGAAGTTGTAACGTAAACGGAACGCAACTGCGTTTTCACGTACATTGTTTTAGTGAAAAAATAAGGTGTTCGGACTTTTAATGGAAAGTACTTAAATCCGTTGTTTCGTCTTTGTTTGCTCGTTAACTTTACCGCGATACCGAATTGCACACCTGCTGGAATGAAAACGGAGTGTAACTGTAGTGTAGACTAGAGATGAAACGCAAAGGAATTGGAGACATACAAATCAGCGCAATCGGGGCGCTGTCTTCTACGGCCCGCCGCTGTATAGCGTCACCATAGTACTAGTGGGCGGATGGAGAGGCCGAGCTGGGTGCTCGCCTGCCGCTGTTACTGCACCTGTTCACTGCTGGCATCTTCCAGAACGACCGAGTGAGTCAAAAATCAAAAAAAGCTTTACACTTGACAGAAAGATAAACAAGCAAGTAAGATGTAAGTACATACAAAGTGACAGCATACATCAAGACCGCCAGGGTTTGCCTCGAAACAGATTTTCAGCGGAGGCCCGTTGTCACGGCAACAGCCCTGGTATACCGAAGCGAGCAGTGGACAGCAGCTTCCAATATAGCACGTGAAGGGGCAGCTATTCTGCTTCCCGCTGCTGTATAGTGTCATCATAGTATAGATAGTTTCATCCACGAATATGCGCTCCACCACTTTTTGTTCGAGGGAAGCGCGGTTATAACAGCGTGGCAACTGGATAATTATCCAGTGCATGCGCACACTACAATAATGACGCTCGGATTGCTCGGATAAATCTCTCCGCACCCAGCGCTTAATTCGACCAAAATGTGTTAGGGTGCGTCTTTGTGAATGAAACGATCTATACTCATGTAACACTATGAGCTGAACGTCTGGCTTCAAGCGTATACATGGGCGGACGGGGAAGCCGAGCTGGGTGCTCGCCTGCCGCTGTTACTGCACCTGTTCACTGCTGGCATCTTCCAGAACGACCGGGTGAGTGCTGCTACTGTACTGTTACCATAGATGGAATAGAATTCGTTTCAGCCAAATGACGTCCACTGCTGGATAAAGGCCTCCCCCAAGGTTTTTCACAATGAACGGACTTGCGCTGCCCGCATCCAGACCTTTACCAGATCGTCGGTCCATCTGGTAGGAGGCCTGCCCACGCTACGTCTTCCAGCCCGTGGTCGCCACTCGAGGACTTTTCTGCCCCAGCGGCCATCGTTTACGAGCAATGTCAAGGTTTTGTATTAGATATTATTCCGAAGCAGCTATAGACAGCATCTTTCAATAGCTCGTGCGTCACCATAGTACTCGTGCAAAACTATGAGTTGGGCGACTGGTGCGCGTGGACGTTAATGCTAGCATCTTCCAGCACGGCCGGGTGAGTCAAAAATAAAAAAAACTTTGCACTTGACAGAAAGGTATACAAGTATGTAAGACATGAGTACATACAAAGCGACGAAGTCAGCATACATCAAGACCACCAGGGTTTGCCTCGAAATAGATTTTCAGCGGAGGCCCGTTGTCACGGCAACAGCCCTGGTATTCCGAAGCGAGCAGCAGAGGCAGCTGTCTTCTGCGGCCCGCTGCTGTATAGCGTCACCATAGTACTCGTGCAACACTATGAGCTGGGCGACTGGTGCGCGGCGGCGTGCGACGGGCTTCAAGCGTACACGTGGGCAGGCAGGGAGGCCGAGCTGGGTGCTCGCCTGCCGCTGTTACTGCACCTGTTCACTGCTGGCATCTTCCAGAACGACCGGGTGAGTAAAAAATCAAAAAAGCTTTGCACTTGACAGAAAGATAAAGAAGCAAGTAAGACGTAAGTACATACAAAGTGACGAAGTCAGCGTACATCAAGACCGCCAGGGTTTGCCTCGAAACAGATTTTCAGCGGAGGCCCGTTGTCACGGCAACAGCCCTGGTATTCCGAAGGTGTATTCCGAAGCGAGCAGTGGACAGCAGCTTCCAATATAGCACGTGCAGGGGCAGCTGTTCTGCGGCCCGCTGCTGTATAATGTCATATCATCTCGGATAAATCTCCCCGCATCCCGCGCTTCCTTCGACCAAAATGTGTTAGGGCGCGTCTTCGTGGATGAAACGATCTATACTCATGTAACACTATGAGCTGAACGTCTGGCTTCAAGCGTACACGTGGGCGGCTGGAGAGGCCGAGCTGGGTGCTCGCCTGCCGCTGTTACTGCACCTGTTCACTGCTGGCATCTTCCAGAACGACCGGGTGAGTGCTGCTACTGTACTGTTAACATAGATGGAATAGAATTCGTTTCAGCCAAATGACTTCGCGTGGACAAAAGCCTCCCCCAAGGTTTTTCACAAGGAACGGTCCTGCGCTGCCCGCATCCAGACTCTTCCCGCGACCTTTACCAGATCGTCGGTCCACCTGGTAGGAGGTACATACAAAGTGACGAAGTCAGCATACATCAAGACCACCAGGGTTTGCCAAAAGGCACCCGCTCATCCATCATACATCAAGACCGCCACGGTTTGCCTTGAAACAGATTTTCAGCGGAGGCCCGTTGTCACGGCAACAGCCCTGGTATTCCGAAGCGAGCAGTGGACAGCAGCTTCCAATATAGCACTTGCAGGGGCAGCTGTTCTGCGGCCCGCTGCTGTATAATGTCATCATAGTATAGATAGTTTCATCCACGAATATGCGCCCCACCACTTTTTGTTCGAGGGAAGCGCGGTTATAACAGCGTGGCAACTGGATAATTATCCAGTGCATGCGCACACTTATTGATGTGCCGTTCCCGAGAACGCTCTCTCAACTGAGAATATTCTCGGGAGCGTTCCCGGGAGCGTTCTTCTAAGTGAGAAAGGTTGAGAATCATGTTTATCAAATGGAAATAAACAAACTTTCTTAAGTAAAATAGTATTAAATTAAGTCAACAAATAAGTGTATATTAAACAATACACTCTATTTGCAGTGAAAGGCTATATTCTCAGTGTTCCCGAGAATATTCTCGGGAACTTTCTCGGCAATATTCTTGGCAACTGCACCTTTATTATTTTTTATTTTTTTCGTCGTGAAATGTCGTTTTAATGATATGTAAGATGACAGAAATTTCTTTTTACACGTAATTAAATAATGTAACTGTCCATTTTTTCGTTTTTAACACGCTCTTATTAGGTCGTCGTGTATGTAACTAACTATGTAATGGAATCTTAGAATCTGAATTACACGCACTTCTAAGTATTGTATCATCATGAAACTTGGCAATTATATTATGTAGATTAGAAATGACAATACAATATTGTGGTACCAGCTGGTCTGATGATGGGACTGGAAGGTGGCCAAAAAAACTCCTAAACGAAACGGCGGAATCACATCGAGTTTGGGTTCATTGGATGTCTTTTCGAGATCTTTAAGTACTAGATAATGTTCAGGGTCCTAATGATGGAGTCAGGAGGTAGCCATAGGAACTCCTAAACGAAACGGCGCAAACTCATCGAGTTTGGGTTCGTTGGATTTGTCTTTTCGAGCACTTTAATGCTAGATGTTGTCCAGGGTCCTGATGATTTTTGGCTTTTTAGTGCTGTTAGTAATTAAAAGCGTGTTATTAGTTTTTTAAACTATTCTTATTTGACATTAAGGGCATATTTCACAATCGCTTAGTAAGGGCCTGTTTTGCCACTTCTGGATAAGTTGTGGATAGCCTGTCTGACGGATCATTTGACACATTTTTATAGAAAATAAGTGCTAGCTAGATTGATCCGACACTTAGAAGAATGGTAATACTCCTCTTCACAAAAGGCGACAAAACCGTGTTGAAGAATTATAGACCCATTTCGCTTCTGAGCCATGTCTACAAGCTGTTTTCGATAGTCATTACGAATTGTCACGCTAGCAGGCTCGACAACTTTCAGCCCCCTGAACAAGCCAGTTTCCGAAAAGGCTTTAGTAACTACCATATACCATAATAATATACGCAACGGCAGATTATACGGAAGATCAAGGAGTATAATCAGCCACTTTGCGTTTGTGAACTATGAGAAAGCCTACGATTTGTTTGAAACATGGGCACTGCCCATTCAGTCTCTTCAACTGTGCCAAATTGACTATTGATACGTTAATTAAAGAGTTGAAAGGCTTGTACAAACACGCCACAGTGACAGTCCGTTTTAAGATCAGGACCCGAAACCTATCCAGTTGCAGCGAGGGGTGAGACAGGGAGACGTCGTCACCACCACCCTGGAAGATGTTTTCAAGCTTCTGGGCTGGAGCGGATTCAGCATAAATATCAACGGCGAGTACATCGCCCAGACATCAGACGATATCGTTGTCATGGCTGAGATCGTGGACGATCTAGGCACAATGCTCGATGGCCTCAACAGTCTCTCAACAAGTGGGTCTCAAAATGAACATGGACAAGATTTAAAAATCATGTCTAAAGACCGTGTTGCACCCACTCCTCTATAAGTTGGAGACTCTACACTCGAGGTTGTTGACAATAATGTATACCTGGGACAAACAGTCCAGTTAGGTAGGTCCAACTTCGAAAAAAAAAGTCAATAATCTAATCCAGCTCGGCTGGGCAGCCTTTGGGAAGCTTTACGATATTTTCAAGCGGCTTCTCCGTCGCGTCGCCACTCCGCTTTAAATCCACTTTGAATCCGCTTTGAATCCGCTTTGAATCCGCTTCGAATCCGCTTGCAATCCGCCAGGGTGGCAAGGGCCTTAAAACTTAGAGGCACACTGATGTTCAAATACCTTAGCCGAGTCCTAAAGCCGCGGTACGCGTTCGCCACGAAAAGAGTGAGCAAGACAGCAATATCCCACTCACACGTTTCATGCCTTGTTTATAACGACTAGTCTTAACGCCCAGTTAATAAAACATCGAAATATTACAGATAATATCACATATGAACAACAAAATTAAAATTAAAACTAAATGCATTCTATCGAGAACACTGAGAATATTCCCGGGAGCGTTCTCGGTTCTCGAGAATATTCTCACTGGGAATATTGCCGGGAACGAGAACTTTCTCAGCGGCACATCTCTACGCACACTACAATAATGACGCTCGGATTGCTCGGATAAATCTCTCCGCACCCAGCGCTTAATTCGACCAAAATGTGTTAGGGTGCGTCTTTGTGAATGAAACGATCTATACTCATGTAACACTATGAGCTGAACGTCTGGCTTCAAGCGTATACATGGGCGGACGGGGAAGCCGAGCTGGGTGCTCGCCTGCCGCTGTTACTGCACCTGTTCACTGCTGGCATCTTCCAGAACGACCGGGTGAGTGCTGCTACTGTACTGTTACCATAGATGGAATAGAATTCGTTTCAGCCAAATGACGTCCACTGCTGGATAAAGGCCTCCCCCAAGGTTTTTCACAATGAACGGACTTGCGCTGCCCGCATCCAGACCTTTACCAGATCGTCGGTCCATCTGGTAGGAGGCCTGCCCACGCTACGTCTTCCAGCCCGTGGTCGCCACTCGAGGACTTTTCTGCCCCAGCGGCCATCGTTTACGAGCAATGTCAAGGTTTTGTATTAGATATTATTCCGAAGCAGCTATAGACAGCATCTTTCAATAGCTCGTGCGTCACCATAGTACTCGTGCAAAACTATGAGTTGGGCGACTGGTGCGCGTGGACGTTAATGCTAGCATCTTCCAGCACGGCCGGGTGAGTCAAAAATAAAAAAAACTTTGCACTTGACAGAAAGGTATACAAGTATGTAAGACATGAGTACATACAAAGCGACGAAGTCAGCATACATCAAGACCACCAGGGTTTGCCTCGAAATAGATTTTCAGCGGAGGCCCGTTGTCACGGCAACAGCCCTGGTATTCCGAAGCGAGCAGCAGAGGCAGCTGTCTTCTGCAGCCCGCTGCTGTATAGCGTCACCATAGTACTCGTGCAACACTATGAGCTGGGCGACTGGTGCGCGGCGGCGTGCGACGGGCTTCAAGCGTACACGTGGGCAGGCAGGGAGGCCGAGCTGGGTGCTCGCCTGCCGCTGTTACTGCACCTGTTCACTGCTGGCATCTTCCAGAACGACCGGGTGAGTTGCGACCAGGTGAGGCGCCGGTAGTGTAGCGGCAGTCGCTGCAGCCTGCCGGGCTCCGAGCTGGCCGCTCTCGCCAGCGGGTGCTGCCGCGCCGCCGCCGCCTGGCTGCCGCCCGCGCAGCTGTCGCACGTGGCGCGCGCGGCGCTGCTGCGGGCGCCGGGCCTGCCGTGCGACCAGGTGAGGCGCCGGTAGTGTAGCGGCAGTCGCTGCAGCCTGCCGGGCTCCGAGCTGGCCGCTCTCGCCAGCGGGTGCTGCCGCGCCGCCGCCGCCTGGCTGCCGCCCGCGCAGCTGTCGCACGTGGCGCGCGCGGCGCTGCTGCGGGCGCCGGGCCTGCCGTGCGACCAGGTGAGGCGCCGGTAGTGTAGCGGCGGTCGGTGCAGCCAGCTGTGGACTCTACGTCATCTAAATTATACTCCTCTTCTTCTTTTTGATTATGTTGGCAATACACGTCGAGGTCGACTTGATTTGTGCCATTTTCAAGTATTTATGTGATACGAGTTACAAAATGAGATCAAGTAATGATATAATGAAGGATGATAGATGATACCCCTTCCCACCCTTTGAGTCTCAGTAAAGTTGTGGTGCTTTACTGAGACATCCTATGGACAACTTGAGAGAACCAGAAGAATCACGATGCACTATTTTGCTTCAATTGCCCACACTCATGCACGTTCACGAACACTTAATGGTTAATAATACACCATTATTACACATTAATAGTCGCCCAAACACGAATTTGAGGAAATAAAACAAAACCGCTAACATGACTCTTCAGATTCCCGCCAAGAAGTCTAAATTATACTCTTCAGACCTGCACAGACTTATGTGGGACCAGAGACCACATGAGCAGATTATGAGCTAAAAGTACACACTAGCAGAAGGGTAAGGTTTAGATTTTAGAAATGTTATCATCATCATCAGCCTAATAGTAGTCCACAACAGCTACATATAGGCATTCCTCAATCTTCGGCTTGTCGCATCTAGCTTCTGTAAGCGATTTCTAAAAAGTAATTTAATTTTCTTTCTGGTGATGGCGCTAGCCAACTTGTGAAAGCAATAAGGCAGTTCGATTTTTTCAAGTTATTTATTTAAAATTTAGTATCACAAAGGGACTTGTATTCAGAAATTTTGATAACAAATACGATAGCCCTAATTTTTCTTCAATCGTCTCGTCAGTTTAAACTCATATTATAGTCTAGTCTGTGAGCACGTAGAATTTTGTCCAATGACCCCAAGCTACCCATCATTATCGCTCGCGCGTAATTATATTGCTGTCGCGACTGTGCGACGGGCGCCCGCAGTGAGTGTGCGAGCGCGATAGCAACATAATTACGCGTCGTACTATCAACTAGCCTGTTCTATTGCTATCACCACCTTCCAGCTGGGCCACCTGCTCCGCGAGCTCGGCGTCATCTGGTGGGAGGTGCGCAGCGGCCTCAAAGGCCCCGACGATAGATACGCAGCGTATGCGCCGCACGTGGCACAGCTACTGTCAGTGCTTCACAGGGCGTTCGTCGCTGCTGCGGTGCAACTGAGCTACGCGCCTGAGAGAGGTGAGCTATTTGCTATTTTTTAGAAATATTTTTTTTTTGTTTTGAATATAGTTATCGCCTGCCAAAAATACTAAATCTTACGATTACACTGGAACAATTTTTCGAATTATGTTCGGCTCGGCCTGTCAGACTACACATTTGTCGCAAAATATAACTACCCCTCATTACAACTACATTGGATGTTGCAATTTGCATTTGATTTAATAAATAAAATATTATTTCATCTCAGTTTTTTGCATTAAAATAACAATTTATTATCTATCTATTACTAGCTGTGTACTCGCGGGACTTCGTACGCGTGAAAACTCGTTTTCGCAACATTTTTTTCTGCATTATTGCTCTGCTCCTATTGATCGTAGCGTGATGTTGTGTAGCCTATAGCCTTCCTCGATAAATGGGCTATCTAACACTGAAAGAATTTTTCAAATTGGACCAGTAGTTCCGGAGATTAGCGCGTTCAAGTAAACAAACAAACAAACTCTTCAGCTTTATAATATTAGTATAGATAATAATTTATCAGTAACGACGCGAGCGTGGTCTAGCCTCCTAGAAGCGTGGTATAATCTCTGTGTTTTTATCCAGTGGCAGCACTAGCGTGGTCGAGCCTGCTAGAGGCGTGGTGTTTTTATCCAGTGGCAGCACTAACGCGGTCTAGCCACCTAGAAGCATGGTATAATATCTGTGTTTGTATCCAGTGGCAGCACTAGCCTCTTAGAGCAGCGGTTCCCAAACTTATTTAGTCTACTGCCCACTTTGAGAATAAATTATTTTTAGCGCCCCCCATTTTTGTAGTCAAGAGTCGAGCTCATTCGGTGTCTAAGAGTCTTCCTAGTAGATGACGCCTCCCAAGCCTCTACACAACGTCCCGATTTTTTTTTCTGGGTCTCTTACCGCCCCCCTTTAAGCCTGCAGCGCCCACAAGGAGGCGTTATCGCCCACTTTGGGAAAGACTGTCCTAGAGGCATGGTATAATGTCTGAGTTTGTATCCAGTGGCAGCACTAGCGTGGTCTAGCCTCCTAGAAGCGTGGTCGGCGTGGGTGGTGCCGCACGCCGCGACGCCGCTGCTGCCATCCACCGGCGAGCGGGAGCACTACACGTGCATGCTGCGGGCCTTCCACGAAGCCGCGCTGGAGGTCATGGCTGACTGTCCTGGTAAGTAAAGCCTAAAGTCAAGTATCGGTTGCGGTCTATCGTCTCCATAGACACGGTAATACTATCTATACAGTATTCCAACTCGGCCATATTTTTGAAATAAATGTCAACAGCCGCGCGGTACGTCACGGTATGACAACATGCGATAGGACTGCCCACCTACAGTACCCATTTTAATTATATCTGCCTACTTAGAATTTCTATCTAGTTTTGTGATTGTAATTTTTATTTATTTAGACAAACAAAATACTTCGTGAATGGAATAGGATAAAAATGCGTGTTGTTTTGAAATTAGTAGATTTAATTAAAAAAAAAAAGTACTAAAATATTTTTATTTTTGAACTGACGGCCGATGGGGCAGCAAGGTTCTGGAATGGAGGCCGCGTACCGGGAAATGCAGCGTGAGACGTCCACCCACAAGGTGGGCCGATGACATCGTAAAGGTAGCAGGGTCGCGCTGGACGCAGGCCGCTACCAACCAGGCAACATCGAAAGCATTGGGGTGGGGGGCCTATGTTCAGCAGTGGACGTCCTATGGCTGAGATGATGATGATGATGATGACTTGCAAGGGATATTTGCCGATTTAGCTGCTCTTTAAAACTCAGCGATATGGTGTTTCAGAATCAGCGTCTCGTATAAAACTCACTGGCCGACTAGCGAATTCACTTACGCATGCGGCATGACGCGTCATTGTGCAGGCACAGTGCAGGTGTGAGTGTTGTGCGACGAAGTGCGGGGTGTCAAAACTTCGCTTGTTTTGCATCCATGTTGCATTCAATAGATATTTTGGTTTTTAATTTTTGGGGTAAAAAAAATCGAAAAAACCGAATTTCAAAGTCAAAATCCTGATTTTTTTATAGCCTCAAAATCCGGATTTTTCGGATATTTTCGAATTTCGAATAATCCGAATTGCAATCTCTAAGGGAGGCCTATATTCAGCAGTGGACGTCCTATGACTGAAATGATGATGATTTGTTTTGCGCAGGCACAGAAGAGCACCTCCTCTGCCAGATATTCGAGTGGGCGGTGCAGACGTGCGCGAGCGTGCATAGCGCGCCCAACCAAGAAAGCCGCGGGCAGGCGTCCGCTCTGCTGGCGGAGCTGGCGCGCGGCCCTTGGCGGAGCCACCAGTGGCTGCGGGCCAGCAGTCTGCAGGCCTTGCTGCAGGTTAGAAAGAAAGAAACATTGCAATGCACATCACAAAAGACAAAATAGGTATATAAAAAAAGCAAACAAGACAGAGGTAGTAACACAAAAAACAATGGAAGCATACAATGCGCGTATAAATTTTAAATGTACGGTATTTTTACATTTCCCTTCGTTTGTACAGATACAAGCTAAGGTCGGAGACTATGCCAGAAGTTGATATTCTACTTCTCGCTAAGCGACAATAACGAACCGCCCGTCTTGCGATTATCGCCCGCCACGTTTGCGGGCGATGATCGGCGGCTGCGTAACCGCGCAAATAACCGGTCCCATGAGTTTTGAAACCGTGAGTTTTGGAACCGCAATTCCACAACCACCGCGGGTGCGGGTGAAAATCGTGCCGTGAGTTCTTAGCCTTAGATCTAAAGAAAGCGGGAGGCGCGACTAGGGGTTAATGGGACTTAAAAATCTGTTCAGACTTCAGTATTTGATCTTCAAATCATACTAAATTTATCCAGTGTCTCATTCGCTTTATGGAGTCAACATCAGCCAGCCAACATCCTCGCGGTGTTTATTGCTTCCTTTTTGCGGCTCTGTATTTATTTTTTGTCCCTAGTCTGTTGCCTTCTTCTGACTGAATAATAATAATATTTAATTTACTTCAGACTTTCATCCATAGTTTGTAAGGATTAGTAACAATTTTATTTACATTATGTTAGTTGAGTTAGTGCACACCATAGATATAGAAAGATGCCAACTAATGCGTTGAGTTTGAAACTCAGTGTCGAAGTAGAAATTCACCGGCGTTTACCCGTGGTNGGCGGCGACCCCGCGCTGCGATCGCCGGCTTTTACCGTGGTCCCCCCGACATGTCCCCCTGGTGGATCCACGGGTAATTTATTTTACCCGTTGTCCCACCGTTCTGAACAGTGTTTGCCAGTGGGTCTACGGGTAATTTATTTTAACCATGGTCCCACCGCACTAAGTGGCAAACATTGCATGTCACCTATGTCTGGGATGAAATATCAAACGCCGAGAAGGATATGAGTGACTTTAACCCACATGTGTGATGTGAAGATAGTATAAAGATATTATAGTGCCGTACCTACCTATAATTATTTTCTATATTAATTATAGATTTTTTTATAATATTATAGATACCTAGGCTAGGTGACAAGCAATGTTTGCCACTTAGTGCGGTGGGACCATGGTTAAAATAAATTACCCGTAGACCCACTGGCAATCACTGTTCAGAACGGTGGGACAACGGGTAAAAAAAATTACCCGTGGACCCACCAGGGGGACATGTTGGGGGGACCACGGGTAAACGCCGAAATTCACACACACAAAGTAATCAAAATATGTGCTCATTATCCACTGCGGCATCAGTACTCAGCGTCCGAATAATCTTTTATAGTACTACGCAAGCAATGTAAACTGTTTACGTTATGACGTCGCTGCTGTCATCATTCCTGTCACGAGCAATGTGTTCTGTTTTTGGGCATATTGCTGCGACACCGGCCTGGCCCCGTCACATCTCCCTTTAGTTTCTGTGATCTGTGCACACTAATTTAATGTATTCCTTCGGTTTTTTATTGTTAGGTGTGCCACCTGCGCGACCGAGAGCTTAACGACTGGTGCGCGGCGGCGTGCGACGGGCTTCAAGCGAACACGTGGGCAGGCAGGGAGGCCGAGCTGGGTGCTCGCCTGCCGCTGTTACTGCACCTGTTCACTGCTGGCATCTTCCAGAACGACCAGGTGAGTGCCGCTATTGTACTACCATAGGTGTTATTCCGAAGCGAGTTACGGACAGCAGCTTCCAGTATATTTTCAACTGCAACGCGACTGGACTACGAACGAAATTCAGCTATTTGCACAAATTCGTATCGCGGTGTATGTCGCTTTGACTTGACACGTAGGTCAAACGAAGTTGTAACGTAAACGGAACGCAACTGCGTTTTCACGTACATTGTTTTAGTGAAAAAATAAGGTGTTCGGACTTTTAATGGAAAGTACTTAAATCCGTTGTTTCGTCTTTGTTTGCTCGTTACCTTTACCGCGATACCGAATTGCACACCTGCTGGAATGAAAACGGAGCGTAACTGGAGTGCAGACTAGAGTTGAAACACAAAGGAATTGGAGACATTACAAATCAGCGCAATCGGGGCGCTGTCTTCTACGGCCCGCTGCTGTATAGCGTCACCATAGTACTCGTGCAACACTATGAGCTGAGCGACTGGTCCGCGGCGGCGTGCGACGGGCTTCAAGCGAACACGTGGGCAGGCAGGGAAGCCGAGCTGGGTGCTCGCCTGCCGCTGTTACTGCACCTGTTCACTGCTGGCATCTTCCAGAACGACCGGGTGAGTGCTGCTACTGTACTACCATAGGTGTTATTCCGAAGCCAGTTACGGACAGCAGCTTCCAGTATATTTTCAACTGCAACGCGACTGGACTACGAACGAAATTCAGCTATTTGCACAAATTCGTATCGCGGTGTGGCTTTGACTTGACACCTAGGTCAAACGAAGTTGTGACGTAAACGGAACGCAACTGCGTTTTCACGTACATTGTTTTAGTGAAAAAATAAGGTGTTCGGACTTTTAATGGAAAGTACTTAAATCCGTTGTTTCGTCTTTGTTTGCTCGTTACCTTTACCGCGATACCGAATTGCACACCTGCTGGAATGAAAACGGAGCGTAACTGGAGTGCAGACTAGAGTTGAAACACAAAGGAATTGGAGACATTACAAATCAGCGCAATCGGGGCGCTGTCTTCTACGGCCCGCCGTTGTATAGCGTCACCATAGTACTCGTGCAACACTATGAGCTGGGCGACTGGTGCGCGGCGGCGTGCGACGGGCTTCAAGCGTATACATGGGCGGGCGGGGAAGCCGAGCTGGGCGCTCGCCTGCCGCTATTACTGCACTTGTTCACTGCTGGCATCTTTCAGAACGACCGGGTGAGTCAAAAATCAAAAAAGCTTTGCACTTGACAGAAAGATAAACAAGCAAGTAAGACGTAAGTACATACAAAGTGACAGCATACATCAAGACCGCCAGGGTTTGCCTCGGCAACAGCCCTGGTATTCCGAAGGTGTATTCCGAAGCGAGCAGCGGACAGCAGCTTCCTATATAGCACGTGCAGGGGCAGCTCTTCTGCGGCTCGCTGCTGTATAGTGTCATAGATAGTTTCATCCACGAAGATGCGCCCCACCACTTTTGGTCGAGAGAAGCGCGGTTATAACAGCGTGGCAACTGGATAATTATCCAGTGCATGCGCACACTACAATAATGACGCTCGGATTGCTCGGACAAATCTCCCCGCATCCCGCGCTTCCTTCGACCAAAATGTGTAAGGGCGCGTATTCGTGTATGAAACGATCTATACTCATGTAACACTATGAGCTGAGCGACTGGTGCGCGGCGGCGTGTGACGGGCTTCAAGCGAACACGTGGGCAGGCAGGGAGGCCGAGCTGGGTGCTCGCCTGCCGCTGTTACTGCACCTTTTCACTGCTGGCATCTTCCAGAACGACCGGGTGAGTGCTGCTACTGTACTGTTACCATAGATGGAATAGAATTCGTTTCAGCCGAATGACGTCCACTGCTGGACAAAGGCCTCCCCCAAGGTTTTTCACAATGAACGATCCTGCGCTGCCCGCATCCAGACTCTTCCCGCGACCTTTACCTGATCGTCGGTCCACCTGGTAGGAGGCCTGCCCACGCTACGTCTTCCAGCCCGTGGTCGCCACTCGAGGACTTTTCTGCCCCAGCGGCCATCGTCTACGAGCTATGTCAAGGTTTTGTATTAGGTGTTATTCCGAAGCAGCTACGGACAGCAGTTTTCAATATAGCACGTGCAGGGGCAGCTGTCTTCGGCCGTCCGCTGCTGTACAGTATCATCATAATAGTGCTCATACAACAATGCTATGTAAGCTGAGTGATTGATATGCGGCGGCGTGAAACGGCCTGAAAGCGAGGGTAGGTGGACCCGGCGAGTTTGCTACTGCTGTTTACTGCTGCAATCGTGTCAACGGAAATGGTTACGTGGGGCTGGCAGTGCCTTTATACTACTCGAGTATATGCAATCACTTCCGTGCAACAGACGAATTTATCACATACTTATCTATACTAATATTATAAATGCGAAAGTAACTCGTCTGTCTGTCTCTCTTTCACGCCTAAACCACTGAACCGATTTTGATGAAATTTGGCATAGATATAGTTTGAGTCCCGGGAAAGGACATTGGATAGTTTTTCCCGGTTTTTGAGACAGGGACGCGCGCGATTAAAGTTTTTCTGTGACAGATAAAATTCCACGCGGACGAAAGCTAGTTTTCCTTATACCTGATTTACTAAGCCTATTCACACATACAGGGAATTCCACTTATTTTCCTTTCCTTTGCGGGTAGGTGCTGGAAGAGGTGACGCGCCTGCCCTGGCAGCGGCTGCCGGAGCCCGCGCTGGAGGAGGCGCTGGAGCGCTTCTTCGCGCAGCACTACAGCCTGGCCGTGCCCTACCACGAGCTGCCGCAGTTTAGGTAATATAAGGAAAATCAGCTATTTGTCTATTAAATAGACTCTATTTCATTGAGTTGTGCATAGTTCTAATGACAGTGACTCAATAACGATAAAATATTGTAGTGTTTTGTGTGCCTTCTTGTTGTCCGGTTTCTATCGAATAACCAATCAGATTTCATTATTCAGGAAACCAGGAAATCTGATTGGTTAATCAAACACTTCTCCGCTCCGCCTTGGTGGAAACCGCGCCTAAGTATCGGCTCGCGAGGGAGACAGAGACAATAGACAGAGAACTAAGTCAAGTAACTTTTAAATAATTTTAATAAGTCAAGTGAAGGTCGTAGTCTCCAGTCTCGGTCGCTTGTCTCTGTGAATTGCCGCCTTTCCGTGCAAGGCTGGGTTTCACCATCTTACTATAATTTTAACAAACGTCACAAATCGGTCAAACTCTATACAAAAACACCGGTCATCGTTTTAGTTACTGTTAAAGTTAGATGGTGCAACTCAGCGTAACTGTATCGTGTTCTATTCTTTACCACAGGGTATTGCTTTACGCGGCGGAGCTACGCTGGCCGCCAGAGAGCCTCGGCAGCGTCAGCGTCAGCGGCTGCAGCCGACAGAAGCGCGGCCGGCTCGTGTCCACGTGGATGCGCAGTGCCAGCGCGCCCCCGCTGGCCCCCCACGTGGCCCCCCACACGCGCGCGCTGCTGGGGGCCATCAGTGTGGCAGGTCAGTGGCTCCACACAGCTTCATTAGTATCAGCGGCTGCAGCAGACAGAAGCGCGGCTGGCTCGTGTCCACGTGGGTGCGCAGCGCCAGCGCGCCCCCGCTGGCCCCCCACGTGGCCCCCCACACGCGCGCGCTGCTGGGGGCCATCGGTATGGCAGGTCAGTGGCTCCACACAGCTTCATTAGTATCAGCGGCTGCAGCCGACAGAAGCGCGGCCGGCTCGTGTCCACGTGGATGCGCAGCGCCAGCGCGCCCCCGCTGGCCCCCCACGTGGCCCCCCACACGCGCGCGCTGCTGGGGGCCATCAGCGTGGCAGGTCAGTGGCTCCACACCTCCATGGCTATAGTCTGGATGGGTAGCTTGGGGTCATTGGACAAAATTCTACGTGCTCACAGACCGGGCTTTAGCAGCGATCACTTCTGATGTTATCTTTATCATCATTTCTTTCAGCCACAGGACGTCCATACATAGGACGAACATAGGCCTCCCCCAATGATTTCCACATCACTGCGTTTTCCGGTACGTGGCCTCCACTCCAGAACCTAGCTGTCCCATCGGCCGTCAGTTCTGCGTACTATAATATGTGCCCTGCCCATTGCCACTTCAGCCTGGTAATCCTGATGTTAAGTCAGATGCAATCTAAGGTGGTACTTACATTTAAAGTAAAACCATTTATTCTGGTTCTGTTCATAATTATTGTTATTTTTAAGTGTACATGTTGTTATGTAACAATGTTGGTAGACCTAATAAATAAATAAATAAATTCTCGCTTTGAAGAAACCCGGATGAAAGGGTTCGTTCGGGAAAGATATCAGTAGGCAGCGAGAACTAGCTTAGCTGTTCGCACCTCGTATATTGTAATAAGGTTTAAATTCCAATGTATGATGTTCCAGCGCCTCACTTGTCAAGATCTGAGGGCGAAGTGGAAGAGCTGCTGAGTCGTGCGATGGTTATCATGTGCATCGAGTCCGCTGCCACCGCCGCGCTATCAGTGAGTTTCTTTTCATAGTTTTTACCACAGATTACAGAAACTAAAGGGAGATGTGACAAGGGGGCGAGGTCGGTGTGCAGCAATATGCCCAAAAACAGAACACATTGCTCGTGACAGCGATGATGACATCAGCGACGAATGTAAACAGCTTACATTGCTTGCGTAGTACTAAAGATTTGTAGCGTCTTACAGTTACAGGATGAGTGCCGACGATTTGTATGGGATAGTTAGTGTACGAAACCAAACCCAATGATAGTCGTAATAACACTGATTTATTTCACATAACACAATTATTTATAAAATGATAGAATAGCAGAAGTACGAACGTACGTGACGTATAAAAGTGTGCATAATTGCTATTTCTAAGTGACCTAGATTAGGTATGTCGTTGACATTAACATATGTGCGGTAACCCGTACATCCTGCCACTCTAAAAGAAGGACAAATTCAAAAATTGTATCATAAATGTAAAATAAAGTAACAAATTAAGAGTTCAATAATTCAATAAGTAACAATAAAAATGTAAACAATTTCAAATACAAATAACATAAGTTTAAATAACTTAAATATTTCATCACTGAACTACGTTAATAGAAGGGATGTCCAGTCGCACAGATCGTGGTCGGGTCCTCGGTGGTGTGGCCGCTGCCTGATCGACGCTGGCGACTGCTGTCATCGGAATTGAGTTCGCTTGAGTGCTTGAAGTCTCCATTTTGAGGGCTCCCTTGATTCTTCGCCATCGCATAACCATGAAGATGCACCCCGCGAT